AAATAAATAAAGGCTAGGGATGTAGCTCAGCGGAAAGCCCCTGGGCTCAGTCCCTGTTATCAAGTAAAAAAGCAGCCAGCGAGGATGAGCAGCACCCCTGCCCTGCAGTTGTAGATTGCTGGTGGAGGCCTTAAGTTCTCAGGCGCAGCCAGGAAGTAACTGGCGGCTTCACACGGGCGGGCATATGGCTGGCACCCTGTGAGGTATGGATGGAGCTGAGGGTCCTGCTGCAGCCCTCTGAGGACCAGGACTGGACAGGAGAAGGCCCCCCTCCGCTGCTCCAAGTTAACCCCCAAAGCTGCCAGCCACAGGGGTCCACCCCACGGAGAATGCGGGGAGACTTCCTGACCGAGCTCCTCAGCCACTTTCGCCTCTGGTGGGCTGAGCGCTTGCGCAGACTGCAGACCTTTGTCTGGCTGTCCGGGCCCCTCAGGCCCACCCCGTGTCCTCTGAGCCGCATTTCTGGCCGCTTTCTCCTGGTCTCAGCTCAGGCAGCTGCACTGTGTACATGCCCCGGACACTGTCCTTCCTCCTGGCCAGCCCTTGAGTGTCCCGAGCTCTTTGCCAGCTCTGCCCTCTGCACTTCAGCCCACTGCTGGTTCCCAGAGCTCCCTCCCGGGCAGTTCCTGGTTGCGCAAACCCCGTTCTGGCACTTCCAGGAGATGGTTTCCTTGGGGTGCCGGAGCTGTGGGCCGTGGCTGGGCTCCCTGAACCCCTCATCGTTTTCACAGTCAGATCTCCGTGCTCACTGGGGGCAAGGCCAAGTGCTCGCAGTTCTGCACCACAGGCATGGACGGTGGCATGAGCATCTGGGATGTGAAGGTGAGGCTTGCTGCTCCCCTGGCCCTCTGCTAGGCCCCCAGGAGGACCCTTCTTCCCTCCTGCCCTCCCCGGCACCGCCCTGGGTTGCACCATCCTTCGCTGCTATGGGAGAGGCAGTACGTGGGGACTGTGAGCGGGCAGCAGCCCCCTGACCTCATGGCCTGCTTACCCCCCACCTGGGATTCAAGCCCTGGTCTGCCAGCCTCCAAAGGCCAGGTTCTGTTTGCTGTGCTGCGTCCCTGGGCACGGGTGTCTGCAGGACAGCTGAGAACCAGCCTGTTCTTCTTGCAGAGCCTGGAGTCAGCCTTGAAGGACCTCAAGATAAAATGACCTGTGAGGGACGCTGCCCTCACCCCAGCTGCTGCGGAAGGGAGGCAGTGAGGGGCTGCTTCGCTGAATGCATCTAGGGTACAGCGCGGGTCCCCACAGGGCTGCTCCCTCAGAAGGGGAGGGGAAGGGTGGGGAGCTTTGCGTACCTGTTCAGGGAACATGTGCCTTTTTCTTAAAGAAATGCTTTCATTTATTTTTTAAAAAATGCCCCAAAGCACAGCGCTGGTCATGAACTCCTTCAGGTGTGGAGGTAATAAAATGCAATTTCGGACGTGCTTGTCTATGTGTTCAGAAGAAGCTGGCTTTCAAGTGAGCACAGACTGCTTGCCCGTGAACCTGATCTGATCCTTAAGCCCAAGGACCTTCCCCCAAAGGCTTCTTTCTCCCTTGCAGTCCAGCCCTGTGCCATCACTCTCAAAACGGCCAGAACCAGGTGCGGTATCTTTCCTGTCACCCGGTCATTTTGATCCTAGACAGGGGGGTTGCACATACCAAGCTGGTTCTGAACCTTAATAGAAATACCTTGTTTTTCTATTATAATGTAAGTTTTTAAGATTCATTTTTTGACAAATTATATCTTAAATTTTTTCCTGTTTCTGTTCTACTCAGAGGGTATTTTTGTTTGATCACGCGCTTTTTGGAAACTCTCTACCCCTGAGCTTCGCCCCGGCCTACTATGCATCGCCTATGTGCTCGTGCCTCTTCCCCTGCATGGCCAAGGCGCCATTCTTCTGTAGTCGCAGTGACAGAGAAGTTGCCAGGCCCTAGCAAGACAGCGTGAGGCTACACAGCTTTTTTTTCTTTCTTTTGTTTTTTTGAGACAGGGTCATGATATGTAGTTCAGGCTGGTTTTGAACTCACTGTGTAGCCCAGGCTGGCTGTGAACTCGCAGTGATCCTCCTGCCTCAGCCTTTCCAAGTGCTGGAATTACAAGTGTGTGCCACCACACCCGGCTCACCTGTTCTTAACTAAGTGTAAGTCTAGCCTGTACCAACCCACTGCAAGGTGAGGTTTAGGTCCTACAGCTGATGACTGACACCAGGCCCTGCTGAGAGTGCAAGGAGGCATTTGCACACCTGTTGTAGCCTTCAGGTGAGTGAGCGTGGGTTCCAGTGGGTACCCAATCAGCATTATTCCTTCTCTTCTGAGTAGCAAACATGTTTGGCCTCAAGTAGGGGCTTTTGGCCTTCCTACTGGCCTTCCTCATTAGACATGTACCCCTTCTTGGAGAGGGACACAAGTGCTGGCTTAAAAGTGACAGATTCAAGCAGGTATAGTGGCACATACCTGTAATCCCCAGCACTATAGGAAGCTGAGGCAGGAGGATCACAAGTTCAAATCTACCTTGCACAACTTAGTGACTTAGTGAGACCCTCTCAAAATAAAAATAAAAGGGCTAGGGATGTAGTTCAGTGAGAAAGTCCTGGGTTCAATCCCGTGTCGCCAAAAAATAAAAGCAAGATTCAGAGTCGGGCACAGTGGCACAAGCCTCTAAGCTACTTGGGAGGCTGAGACAGGAGTCCTGGGTGTTTGAGACCAGCCTGGGCAGCCTGGTGAAACACCATCTTAAAAACAAAAGCACACAGGGGCCAGGGGTGTAGTGCAGTGGTGGGATGCTGACCTCGTGTAAGGCCCTAGCTTCAAGCCCGGCCACAGAGTGTGTGTAGAGTGGGGAAAGAGGCCATACAGGCCCAGTCCTGTTCCTTCTCAGCAGGAAAAGGCCCCTCCACAGTGGGTGGAAAGCTGGGTCAGGAAAGGAGGCAGCCATGGACTCCGCCCTGTGTTGCCCCAGCAATGGCCCCCAGGAGCCCATCTGGGCATGATGAGCCCCTGTGTGTCAGGCTCTACTACATATTGAGGGGACACAGAGGGGTACAGAGACGCTGTGGAGCTCAGTCTGGGGTGTGAGCCAGGGAAAGGAGGGGTGGGGCTGAGGGCAGGTCCCAGGCAAGGAACTGTATACAGAAAGAGCTGTGAGCAACTCTCTCTGGCCCAGGACTGAGGGGAGGCTGGGCAGAGCCACCAGCTCCTAGCCCCAGGAGAGTCACACCAGAGTAGGGAGATGAACTAGCTTTGCCATCTGGAGACCAGACTGGAGGCCTGTGGGTTGCTGCAGGGCACAGGTGTGAGATTACGGGTCGGGGCAGAGATGAGGTGGCAGCTGGCCTGGCTTGGGCAACTTGGTGAATGGCAGAGGACAGCTGGAGGAATCCTAACAGACTAGAGGCGCCACCTTGGGAAGGAAGCCTTGTTACATCCACTTTAAAGAGGAAAACAGCCAGGGATGTAGCTCTGTGGCATAGTGCCTGCCTAGCAAATGCGAGGTCCCGAGTTTGATTCCCAGTATCAAAAGGAAAACAAAGCCAGGTGTGGTGCCGTGCACCTGTAATCCCAGCACTTGGAGGCTGAGGGAGGGAGGACTGCTGTGAGTTCTAGGACAATTTGGGCTACACAGTGAGACCCTGTGTCAAGAACCGCCCCCCCACCCCCTCCACCAAAAAAAAGGCTGGGGCTGAGAGCATTTGCCAAGAATGCATGGAGCCCTCAGTTTGACCCCAGTGCTACTAAAAAAAGCGGGGGGAGACAGAGAAAGAAGGTGAAGTCCCACAGCCACTTGGGTCTAACTTCGGAGAAGAGCCCCACTACAGGGGCATCTGCTGCATGGGGAACACTGCCAGCCCACAGGAAGGCTTGTCCATGCAGCATCACCTAGGAATCAGGCATGACCTGCAGAAGCATGTTTCTAGGCCTGCAGACACCAGGGGTCCTGTGCACCAGGAGAACCTCACCAAGCAGGGCCTCTGCGTGCCAGCCATTCAGACCTCCAGCTTTGGCACACCTTAAAGGACACCTACCTTATTACCACCCACTTAGAGCAGTGACAGGGCAGTGAATCTCTCCATACAGCCACCACCTTCCTCCACCCTGCTAGAGAACCTTTTATGGCCAGTCTTGAACCTGGGCAGCAGCTACATGATCGCCAGGGAAGGGGAAAGAACCCTGGTAGAAACTAATTCCTGCCCATCCCAGCCAGAGCTTCCGGGACAGGGGAAGCTGCAGGTGCCAGTAGCTGTGGGATCCTTCCTGGGGTGTGTGGTAGAAGCAGCTCGGAGTTGGGCCACTAAATCATTTTGTCTGACCTCAAGCAAACCATACTGCCCCCACTCGCACCGAGGGGCACCCAGTCACACCAACGTACCCGAGAACCCACTGACCTCTCAGGGCCATGCACAAAGAACGCTATTCACAACTGTAAGTGCCCCTCTCCCGAGTAGAGGAAGGACAGGACCCATGGGTTCCCTTTTACTGGCCTCAATCTGTAGGTGGCTCACTTGCTGGCAGTAAACCTACCTCCCCACTGCCCAAACGCCACCCTGAATAAGGATGAAACAAGGCAGGAGTCCAGCAGTCAGTGCTGGGCAGCAGCTTCTGGGGGCTTGCTGCAGCACAGCACAGGACTGCACAGCACAGCACAGAATTAGGCTGTGACCACCAGGGGGCACCTGGAGCCAGGGGAGGGAGTCCTAGAGCTGCTGCAACCTGGTGTGGGATGGACCAGTTCCCAGCCACAGTACTTGGCAGTCTCTCCTCACTGGTCCCGGGGTCCAGACCCTGCACCCTACTGTTTTGCCTGACAGAAGGTTTAGTATGTGCTGCAAACCCTGTTGGTGCACCTGCCTCAGTGACACTGTGGGCAAAAGGCTCAGGCACAGAAGCCAAAGGATGAACTGCTTGCCTGTAATCCCAGCTCTCCGGAGACTGGGATTGCCCTGAGTTTGAGGCCAGCCTGCACTGCGTTGCAAGATCCTGATCCAAAAAAAAAAGAATGATGGACTGTAAAACAAGGATTACGATAATGTCAAGTTTAATCTGCCAAATATACAAGTTGGATTTGTGGAGCAGGTTTTGCCTGGGTGCTGCACAGTAAACGGAGGTTTCTTGAAATGATCGATGGGTTGGGTTACAAATGGATACTAGCCCTGGCCAGATGTGTGGGACGGGGCAGGGAAGGGCAGAGAAGGGGGCTCAGTTGGAGGATACTGGCCAGGGACGGAGAAGCCATGGGACCCAGGGCACAATCCCCTCTCCGAGTAAGCACCCAGGCAGCACAGACCGGGGCTGGTTGCTGCAAACGTGCCAGCAGCTGCTACCGGCACCACCACCCGCTAACGTGCGATCTACCCAACAAACAGAAGCTCTTCTTACCCACCTCCCAGGCACCCCAACCAGGGTTCTGAATTCTAAAAACAGCAAAAACATTCAAATGGTTACATATGAAATGCTGTCCTGCATCTTTCTGTCTCGAAAGATAGCAGCTGCCCCCTCCCCCAGCCCCCCACATCCCCCCAAACAATTTCTGTGCCAAGATGAAGAGGCGGCCCCAGGCCGTGGGGGTTCCTGGCCATGAGGGGCTGCTGCAGTGGTGCCAGGACACAGGGCGGACGAGACGCGGCAGCGGTCCTGGCAGCGTGGCCCGGTTCCCTGGCCTCTCCTCCCACAGGCAGCGCTTACTTATTCAGGGAGAGTGACTGCATCCGTTTTCCCGACAAAGTCGCGTCATCTTTTGCTGAGGGGTTGGAAGGGAAGAGTAGGAGTTAGAACAAAGCAAAACCACATGTCCCTCGGAAGTTTTGTTCTAAGGGGTCTCGGAAAGCGTTCTGTGCTGCTGGCTCAGCTGGCAGATGAGGAAGGGACCCAAGGGGACAGGCCACCTACTGCTGAGGGAGGGTTCTGCTGAGCCACAAGACCCAGGCACCCAGACACTCCTGCTGTATTCGAGTGGCTGGCACCACCTTAGGAAAAGCTGCCCCTTGCACAAAGGCCCACACACACGCACTCGAGCAGGCATCTGGAAACTCCTCACATCTCTGGTGAAGCCCCTAACTACAACCTCTACGGTTCTCAAGGAGTGAAGCCTCAAATCAGCAGCGACACGCACAGTTATACACGAAGTCCTGTCCTGTTTGGGGTTTGGTACTTGGTTTTTTGTTGTCGTTTTTGCTACTTTGCATTTGGGACTCGGGACAATGCACCTCCAGCGTGGAGGCCTGAGCAACGGTAACCTGAGCCACGACTTCCCACTTCCAGGTGTCACGGTTTGGATCTACAGCGTCCCCTGAAGGCTCACGTGTTGAATGACAGCTTAGTCCCCAGTGCAGCAAGGTTCAGAGGTGGGGATTTTGGGAAGGGATCGGCTCATGAGCACTCTGACCCCATCAATGGATTCGCCCATTGATGGGTTTGTAATTGGATGGGTACTGAGAGGCGAAGGGAATTTACAGGGTAAAAGCTAGTCAAAGCAGGTGGGTCACTGGGAACATGACCCTGGAAGGGTGTTTCTCGTCCCCTACTCCTTTCTCCTTTTTTGCTTCCTAGCTGTTACCAAATGAGCAGCTATGCTTCCCCGCACGCACCTACCATGACACTGTGCCTTGCCACAGACCCAAAGCAACCATGGACCAAAACCTCTGAAACTAAACCAAAATAAATCTCCCTCCCTTTCAGGTTGATTTCCTTAGGTATTCTGTCACAGTGATAGAAAAGATGACCACCACACCAGGCCTGCTTCCTCCTGATCAATGAAGAGGCAGGACAGCGGGATCTCCAAGGGCTCTCACAGCCCCCAACAGATGGAAGATCTCAAATGCCCCTTCCTATAAACCAGAGCAGCTACTCACAGCTACCCACCGCCGTAGGAATCCCAGCCACCTCTGGCTCCCCAGAGACGGCACAGGGAGGAGGGGCACTTGGGCCCTGCTTCACTTGGGTTTGTGCAGTATCCATTGCCCTCTTGAAAGCCCCTAGGCTGGATGGTACTGACTCTGCACAGCCCCCCGGCTTCAAGTAGTACTCAGTCTTAGGCAGACCTTTCAGCTTCAAAAGGCCTCCAGAGTGCAGAGGCCTCCTGCTGCCACTGCAGGTGGTGACTGTTTCCCTACTGCGGACAGTACTTTGCTGAGATTCCCACCGCACTTGCCTCCAGGTCCCTGCTGTGTACACCTCCCCAGAAGGGGGCGGGCAGGTGCACCCCTCCAACTGCACACGTGGAATGGGCCTCTACAGGTGGACAACCTGATCCACAGACAAGGACCTCAGTGCACAGTCCGGACGCGTTAGCAGAAGCAGAGGCAGGGAGCCATCTCTAGTGCCAGCAGCCCAGGACCTACCTTTCCTCTCCTCTTCCTTCTTCCTTGCGGCCTCCTCCCGTTGTTTCCGGATGATGGCCAGCCGGGCGAGGTCAGCCTTGGCCTGCTCTGTCTTACCAGCTAAATGCATCTTCATGTAACGTTCTTTTGCTTTCTGCTTCTCAATTTCTTCTCTGCTCAGATAAAAATGGTGTCACAAGAGGCATCTTCCCCACCTTATCGTCTTTTTCTTGCGGGGGAGGGGGAGGGTCTTGCTATGTAGTTCAGGTTGGCCTTGAACCTGTTGTGACCCACCTCAGCCTCTGGAGTGCTGAGCTCACAGGCTTGTGTCACCACATCCAGCTCCAACCACTGTTAACTGAGCTGAAAGTGGGAGCAAGAACAAAGGCCAACTACTTGGGCCTACAGCACAGGTGGCAGAAGAGGATGCTCCAGCTGAGGGCGGGACCCTGGCTCTGCACACTCTGTTTGATGGACACTCAGCAAATAAGCAAGCAGAAGGCATGGGCCCAGATGGCAAACACCTGTGAGGAAGCCTTGGCACAAGGTGGGACAATGCTTGACTGTGGGGACACAGAAAGATGCCTGAGGGCTTCAAAGCAAGTGAACTATGTGTTCTAGATGACCGGGATCATGGAGGCACTGGAAACTATACTCCATAAGGAACAGAAGTAAGTGGACCAAGTAGCCACAAGACAGGGGATGTGGGCCACAGATGGGAAACATATCCAGTCTTCTGTCTCCAGACAGTGGCACACTCTTACAGCAGCTGGGAGGTACAGGAGGCCACCTCTTGAGGGGTGGGCCCTCAGTAAGAATGTAGGAATAAAAGCTGGCCGTGCTTTTTACCCCACTAAAGCAAGAGTTTAGAGGGGCTGGCTGTTAGTTTCCCTGTGAGGATCTTCTTCCCGAGCCCGAGTCTGCACTGAGGGGACACTACAGGGTATGAGGTGAGCAGGTCCCCTGGCCACTCATCTGGAAGGAGCCAAGTGATGGAGGCAGGGACAGCTCTGTCCAGCAGGTGCTGGAGGACAGGGGAAGAGACCTCCACAGTCCAGAGGGCTGGGGAATAATGAGAAAGAAGATAAGGGGACCTCACTGGAGGGGAGCCACTGGGAATGGGATGAACAGACATCGCAACCAGGATACAGGACGAAGACACTTGCCCCAGCAGGGACACGCCTGACCCAGACACCTCTCAGCTGAGCCCCCAGGAGCGAGCCAATTGCCCCAACACTCTTCAGGCCTCCTCAGTGAAGGCCAAGTGCCAGTTAAGGTGCTGGCCTCTATGCTTGCCATCTCTGCACCCACAAAGGGAGGCCAGCAACAGGATCCCCTTTGTACCAGTGAGAACACTAAGGCCCAGAAAGGGCAGTGACTCATTCCGGGTTGCTCAATGGTGAAGTGGTGGAACCTGGGTGGGCACTTGAGTCCTTCCACTCTGGGAAAGCCAGCACCAGCCCAGGCTGTTGGGTTCTGGGGAGTCCATCCCAAGAAAGAAGCTACTCCGGGGGCTGGGGGGTGTCCTTCAAAGTCTCCAATCACATCCCATGCTCACAGGCTTTCCCTGGGGAGTTTTCACAGACACATTCTCTAGCTCTCCTAGAGTCTGCATGAGTTGATGGACTAAAATCCTAGTAGCCTGATCAGGAGAAACTAGGACTATTTTCCCCACCTCTTAAAGACCCCTGAAGTCACCTTGTGGCCATCAAAAGTCAGGGCACTAGGTCTGGGGATGTAGCTAAATGGTAGAGGCACCTGCCTAGCATTCACGAGGCCCTGGATCAATCCTCAGGAATAGAGGCAGGCCAGGAATGGTTAAGACTGGGTGGGAGAAGGAAGTCTCTCTAGGGTGGGTGCTCTGGAGGAAGAGTAAAGGGCATCCTCACATCCCTGGGCAAGCACTTGAAGCACAGGTTGGGACTCAACCTGTCACCCTATTTCCCTGAGAGCATGTACCTACTGGTAAAAAGTTTGTGCTTATTTTTTTAGAGACTCCTTTAGGAAAGGAGATGAAACAGAAACACCTAACAGTCTCACCGCTCCACCCCTGACCAGGTTACCTCAGCAACCATAGTCAACCCCTCCCTGGGTGCCATCACAAGGCTTGCCATGGACATTACCGTTCTCTCCTTGAAAGTTCTTTTGGCCCGTCCAGATCCAGTTGTGTAACCTTTTTGGTTGTCTGTGCCACCCGGTTGGGGTTCTCGATGTCAATGAGCCCTTCCACACCTTTGCGTTTTTGCTAGGACAGGGCAAGATGCTGGCTATTGGAAAAGTTTAGCTTCTGCAGAGACCCCCAAAGCCAGTCCCGCCACCTCCCAAGAGCCCTGCTCCACCTCTAATCCACATGATTGTTGGCCCATCTCACAACGAGGAAAACATTCAGGAGGATGTTACATAGACTATGAGGGGCAAGGAAAATGAATACGTGTGTGAGAAGGGCCCCAGCCTTTGCCAACCCCCAGCAATTGGAGACTGTTATCCCCATTTCTGAGGTAGCAAACATCAGCTCAGGGTGAAATAATTTGCCCAAGGTCAATCAGAAAACGACAGTAGATGTGAAGAGAACTGCAGCCCAAATCAGAAGCTCCCAACACATCACACTACTTCTCTGCTTCAAGTTCGGCTTCCAGAAACAGTGTTCTATGGACTCTCAGTCCCTACTTTCCAAGCATGTGCGGGATCCCCTGCCAGGGGAAGCCATGAATGTGTGTTCTCCTAATCAATGCCAGTACCTACCATCTAACTGATGGACAGGAAATGCAACTTGGGAATGAATGTGAAATGAGAACACAAATTCTGCAGCAGGTCTAGTCAGTTTCAGGCTCTGTCAATCCTAGCTTTTCTCCTTAAATGACCAGGGAGTCACTGAAGTGACCACAACAGCATTCCTGGGCAGTCCACACATCAACTGCTCTGGCCACTCCAGTCCACATGCCAAACCCAGTCTGGCTTCCTACTTACAACTTCACTGGGATGGCCAAGGCTGCAAACAACATGTCTAAGTCAGAACCTGAGATTCATTCTTCACTCAACCTGCTCCATCTCTCAGTGTAAGCACACCCTGCTCCCTCCTCTCAGCAAGGCCCCAGCATGGCCGCAATCTGTCCGCTCTTCTCCCTGTTACTGCCATTGCCCAAGTGCAAACCAAATTTTTTCCTCTGGGCACACGCTGCTTCCACTGTCAACCTTGTACAATTCACTCTACACAAGGAAGCCTACATTGCCTTTTTTTTGAGACTGGGTCTCACTATTCAGTTCAGGCTGGCCTTGAACTCATGCAACCCTCCTGGCTCAGCCTCCTGATGCTGGGACTACAGAAGTACACCACCACACCTGGCTTTAAATCACCTTTCTTCTTGGTACTAGGAATCAAACTCAGGGACTCACACTGGCCAAGCAGGCACTTAGCCACTGAGCTACATCCCTGGCCCTAAATCACCTTTTAAAAGCAAACTCCGTCACTTCTTTCCTACTTTAAGGCTTCCATCAACCGCCCCCTCCCTGCTATAATGAACCACTTCACTCCTTACCCATGAAGGTAAAGCCCCAAGGGCTCCATTCTTTTCTTTAAACTTACCAAGCTTATCCCCAGCCCGGGGCCTCTGTATTTACTTACCTGTTGCCTCAAGTGTTCTGCATAGAAATTTTCACATGGGTGACTCCATCCTGCTTTTTTATCTCAACATACAAACCACCTCATCATCACACTATTCCAAATACCTTCCATCAGTCTGTTTTATTTGTAGTATTTCTCACTTTATGCCATTCATTTGCTTCATTATCTGTATTTCCCTTAGACTATAAACCCTTAAGAGCAAGGACTTTGTTTACATCTACCACTGGGACTCGTAATAAACAAGCATTCAGTAGGTATAATGTGTCCAGATCTCAGGCCACTGTCTAGATCTTAGAAGCCAGACCCAGTACCTGGTAGTCATCGTCTTCATCCTCACTCTCATCAGAATCTAGAGATTTCTTCTCCTTTTTGGGGTCACCTGCAGCCCCATCTCCACCTTCTTCTTGTTCCTCTTCTTCCTGTTTCAGAAATGGACAACCTGCAGAATCAAAAATGCAAAACAAACCCCCAAGACTGTGATCCCCCTACCACCATCCTCAGACTGTGGACCTTGACATTAAGCCTCTGGAAGGCTGGGACCAAGTATGTCAAGGGTCCAACTCTGCACAGATGGCCCCAGAATAGGGGTCTTGGGCCTGTCCATGCAGCATCGCAGCCTAGAGGCCAGACCCACAGTCCAATAAGCCCCTCCCCCAGCTACAAAAGACCCTGCTCTCCTGTGTGGGCACTTTGTGCAGCCTGATGAGAAGTTCATCTCCTGAGGTCAGAAGGACCCAGGAGTGAGGCTGAAAACCAATGGGGCTCAGTAGCCCCAATGACTGGATACAGCTGCAAATCATACTGGCCTTCCTAGGGCCTCCCTGGTTTTACATTCCCATAACCAGTCCTGTTCATGTACTGCTGCACCAGCTTCCCAAGACCACACCGTGGCAAGCTACCTGCTGCGACCTTTTCTTGCGTTCCCACCAAAAATACCACTCTGATAAAAACCTTCTGTCCTTCCCTTTTTAGCACAGTGGCAGGAGTGTCGTAGAGGACAAGAACACAAATAATGGCTGGACAAAGTACCACAGGACCAGAAGACAGGGAATTAAGCTTGGAGTGGAATGGAGGGTGGGTAGCCCCAGCAAGTGTCACCAAGGAAGTGACACTGAACAAAGCCAGAAGCAATGAAAAGGTCTGTGTGAGTGTGGGAAGGCAGGTCAGCATGTGGCGCTCAGGCTGGCATGCAGCCAGTGTGGCTGACAAGCTGGGGGTGCTGGGAACGTGAGCTGGGAACGGACAGAGGCAGATGGAGGGACAGCCCCCATAAGGCAAGAACACGGAAACAGAGACTCACTATGGCAAATGCGGCAAAGTGGGCAAAGTTCTAAAGATCAGGTCACAGGACGGCCCCCCACCAACTACGACTGCTTGTTCCAGGATTCACACCTGCTATATACTGCCTTCCCTAACCCCACATGGGTTTTTTTCCTTGCAAATGGTAGTCCTGAGGCAAGGCAGCACCTGGGCCACTGGAGTGGCTGGACAGGGATGTACTCACCCTGGCTTTCTGCTTTTCAGCCTGGAGCTGGGCGTCAATCTCCTCAGGGCTTGTGTACTGCCTTGCTCGGCCTTTGTGGCCTCCCTTTCTCCCTGCACAAGGGTCAGCGGTTTAGGAAGGTGAGAGAGGAATAATTGCATTGATGAATCCGACTCCCAGAGAGTTGTGTTCTGCATGCACGCTCTTATCAGAAGCTGCAGAAACCTCACCTACCCTTCACCAAGCACCACACAAACCCACACCTCGCCCATCTGTGTGTGCGCAGAGGGACACAAGAAGTAACTCATGACCACCTGATGCACCAGTGAAGTATGCTGGATGCAAGTTCCCATGAATCAGAGCCTAGGGAAGGACACAGGGTACAAAATGACTGGCTAACTCCCCTCGTCCCTTAGAATCCAAACACAGTGGACTCAGATGCGAGCACGAAAATCACTTACATTTATACCCCTGCGGTCACTATTGGGCTTTTTATGTGCAATATTTTGTCCCGGTCACAGGCTCATTTGATCTTTAGAACGCCCCAGAGTGCAAGAGTCATTACTGGGCTCATTTTGTAGACAAGGAGACTGGAGTTCAAAGCAGCAGTGAAGAGCAAGAATTTTAGAGACCAACCCCTGGGTTCAAAGCTTAGCTAAGCTTGTTCACTTCTCAGAGTCTCAGTTTCCTCAGTCCCTACCTCATAGGTCTGCTGTGAAGAAAGATCAGTTATACATGCAAAGCTGCTGCAGTAGTCCCTGGCACAGGATAAGTACTATAAAAATGTCTGCTAAGACTGCTGTTTCTCTCTCTAAAATAGTACTTGGTGGGAAAACAATAAAAAAAAAACCACCACCACTAATTACACAGGCGATTTATTGCAAATGTCAGAAAAAAAAAAAGAGAACAAAATACTTCACATTTACCTTAGTAATATGGTAGTGAGAGAATACTTAAAAAGAGAAATACCCAAAATCTATCAGCAAAATCTTTGTCCTTGGAATGAAATTAGCAAACAAAGTTAAAGTTGAAAACAAACCTGGCTATTAAGTCTAAGGTGTTAAAACGTGGCTGGCAATAAAAATTCATCGAAGAGTACAAGTTTTTATATTCTGACCCTTCTGAACACTAGACTAACCCCTATGAAGGCCATCCACCAGCTTTACAGCACCGTGGCATCCCTCCCAACCCAGGACCTCTCCTGGAAGCTGTGATCCACCTGACTTCCAAGGGTCCTTTGCTGTGAACAGAGAACATGTAATTAGACAATCAGAGCTGCTCCGGGCTCCAGAGACAGTAGTAGAGATACTGGTCTCCTCTAATTTCCTAGACAGCAGCTGCAGAGCCATAATTGGACTGCTATAGCCCACTCCACCCATTTTTAATGACTACCTAGGTTCCCAGGGGTATCTTAGTCTATGCTCATGAAAGGACTATTGTGAGACACCAAGCTTGCCCTTTGAAGAACCACACCTTTTCTTACCTTCTCAATATACCAGGCCATGGTAACAACTCAAATTTGGTTACTACAGGCTCTCAGCCCCTACATCAGGCTATGGGATACTTGGTCTACAGTAATTTTTAGAGGATCTTTAAGACTTTAAAAATATTTCACACATACACACACACACAAATATTTCACAGCGTAGTGAAAATAAAGAGATGCCAGACATGGTAGCACACACTTGTAATCCCAGCAGTTGGGAGGCTGAGGCAAGAGGATCTCCAAGAGTTTGAGGGCAGCCTGGGCTATACAGTGAGTTCAAGACCCGCCTAAACTCCATAGTAAGACCTTATCTCAAAAAAAAAGAGCGAGCTGGTCCTTTGCTCTTAGGGACTTTTATACTTTTAACACCTTCATAACTTCTTGCATTTTTGAACAAATTAACCTAAGCAAGAAAACCTTGTCTGTCTGCAAAACTGTTCACAAGCTAATAGATCGAGTCATTCAGCTAATTATTCATATTTAAGGTTTTCTCATTGTAACTTCTAACCTTGGAGCCACAATTCTGTAACTGGAAAGGCTCGTTGATCATGTTAACCCCTTGCCTTTTACAGATGAAGAAACTGGGACACATAAGACGCATGGGTCTTCCAGCTACAGAATAAATCATCAGAGAGCCAGGTTTTAAATGATCTAGTTTTGTAAAACCTAGTATTTCTGAACGTTAAGAGTCAGAAGTCATTTAGGACTGAAAAACCTCCAGACAGATGTGCCTTGTAAGCTGAGTGCATTAACCAGCGTAACACAGGAGCTGCCAATATGAGCTGAACATCTGTTCTGTGCCAGGAGCTAGCCGGGCACTTTCTGTGCTCTATCATTTCCTGACTCCTGTTCCTAACTTGCCAAGCTAAGGATTATTATGCCGGCATTCCGGATAAAACAAGATAATGGTTGATACAGCTGCGATTCCAAAGCAAAACTGAAAGAGAAAAAGGATGGGAAGTAGGCTACAATGTACTGGGAAGCCACGGACCTTCTTGATCAAGAGCTGGCAAAACCCCACGCAAACAGTGATAGTCAACGCTCACTGGGCACTTAATGACCGCCCGACACTCTATGGAGCATTCCACGTGTATTACCTACTTTAAGCCTCGCGTCAGTACTCTGCGGTAGACACAAATCACTGTCCCAATTGCGAAAGAGAAAACTGAGACACAAAGAAGTTACGCGAATGGCTCAAAGGCACACACTGAGCTGCTACCGAGTAGAGGAGTCAAAGCCAGATCTGTCAGACTCCGGAATATCTTACTAGGGAGGCCTGGCTGAGCAGCGCGATGCAGGCGGGCCCGCAAAGGCGCGGGACGCTATGATTCAGTCCCCGGCCAGCCCAAAAGTGGGAGGAAACGCCCCTCGACAACCCCCCAGGCTTGGAGAAGCGCGCCCCACGACCGGACTTTCCGCGCCGGGGAGGACCGAGCCCCTGAATCTCCTCAGACCCCCGAGAGCGCGGCTCTAGACCACCAGGTGCTTAAGTTTGCCCATAGGGACAATTGCGCGGCGAGGCCCAGGCCTGGCTCTCAGGGGCCGCGTAAGGTCTCCCTCTGCGCAGTTCGAGACGCTCTTGGGCTTAAGGCACAGGCGGAGTCGGCCGCGGGTTGCCCCTCCAGACTCGTGAGCACGCGCGCCTGTTTCTCACCTCCTTTAGGCATCGCGGCTTCAGCGGCTGCGGCGGCGGCGCCTCGAAATGACACAGGAACCGGAAACACTTTGAGCTCTACTACTTCCGCCCGGCACAGTCCGCTCAGCGCGCCGCCGCCGCCGCCGCCGCCGCCGCCGCCGCCATCGCCGCGAGAAAGGGGACCTCACAGAGGCTGGCGCACGAAGCCGGACTGTCCGCGGGTCGCCTGAGTCTAGGTCGGCCCGCGTGCTGCCTGGCAACAGCGCCAACGGTGTCTCAGCCTGGGGAGACGCGTAGTCCTGCCCGCCTTCCCAAGACATGAGGGGAATGGACCCCAGCGGCTCTGGAATTGTATACAGGCAGCGCTGGGGACACCTAGAATGACGCAATCTTCGCGCGCAGTGGGGCGGAGCTTCGAGGGGGCCTCATTTCAAAGCGAGTTAGACGGGGCGGAAGACGTCTGTGGAGAAGCGGCGGCTTCCGAGCCTAGGTTTCTGGTGAGTGTTTTTCCTCTACTCTCGAGTACTGTACACTGGCAGTGGGTGAGGTTGGGACTACAGGTCCTCGGAGGGCGATCTGACTATCTGCGCGGAGAGGAGGCAGCGCCTTTTTGTTCTGCCGAGGGAATGGTAGATTTGGGGTATTCTTTTGGCGCTAGGCTTCTTTTCACACCATTTTGTCTCCCGGGATGGTTTGGTGGTTTTGTTTTTTTTTTCCTATCTAAATACTTTTTCTTTTTCTAAGCACACTTCACATGACACCCTTTTTAGAAGCCGTTCCACAGTCCTGGCCATACCATTCTCTGTCCCTCGTCCCGGTCCTTGAGTGCCTCTACCTCTGTATACTGCCCAGCACCTCTCTCCTCTTGATCTCTTTACCTCCTACCTTTATCTTCCCCAGAGGCATCTTCTGGCTCCCGGGTTGAACCAGGACTTTTGAATTTCCCTGGTCAGAGGAAAGTGATTGTTTTGTCACTGGCTGTGCGCCCTGGGTCAGGGACCAGAGTCCACCTATGGTAGCTTCAGCTCAGGGGAAACCAGTGCAAAGACCACTGACTTGCAAGTCAAGAGCCGCTAATCAGTGTCTGACTGCCATTTCCCAGCTCCGCAACCCCGACGTCACCTCTTAGAGTTTGATTGTTTATCTAAAAAGCTGTTATGGAGAGTTTAATGTTCTGGGCAGGATTTGGAAATTCAAGTCCCAAAAGGGCTAGGGATGTAGCTCAGTGCAAAAGCCCTGGGTTTAATCGCCAGTGCCACTAAATAAATAAATAGGACTTTGGTAATCGGCTAATCTACTACCCTCATTTTACAGATGAGACTGAGAACCAAAGAGGGAAAGTGATCTCCAAAGTCAGAAGATTTGGTAGAGTGAGACAGAAGTCCAAGCCTAACTGTACAGACCAGAGATCTTTCTACTTCACTCTAGAAAAGAGATCCTAAGGTAGTGTGGTTTTACAGCCATCTTTTCCCTTTCAAATACTCATCCGCTTGGCTCTCTCAGGTGCAGTCCACCTCACACTGGATTGTAATTGCCTTTTTACTTGTGTGTCTCCTTACCAAAATCTCACTTTCTAAGAGGTAGAGCCTATGCCTTAATTCCTTGTTTTGTGTTCTCAATGTCCAGTGTGGAGCCAAGAAGTGAGTATGTACTAAAATAATGACTGACAAAAGCTTTTGGTAATGTGAGACTCAGAAATCAATTTATTTTTCCAGATCTCAGCAAATTATCTCGTAAGGGAAAAAAATGCCTAAAGTCAAAAGAAGCCGGAAAGCTCCCCCAGATGGCTGGGAGTTGATTGAGCCAACACTGGATGAATTGGATCAAAAAATGAGAGAAGGTGAGTGAGGTGCTCCTGCCTGGGTTAGCTGTTTGGAGACTTACAGCCTTAGGTTTCCCATCACCAGGCACAAACTCAATGTAGTAAGAGGCTTGTCTTCTAACACTAGAGTATACTGTTTGCTTGTCAACTTAGAATGCGCAAACTACTGGGAAGCAAGATAACATTAGTGAAAAGGGCCTTTAAAAAGCTTTTGGACCAACTTGAATTCAAACGCTTTAAGGAAGTAGGTCAGAATCGTTGTCTTAGTTACTTTTCTCTCACTGCTGGGACAAAATACCCAACACCCAAAGTTAAAGGGGGGGAAAGGTTTATTTAGCTCATAATTTGTAGAGGTTTCAGTCTATAATCCACTAGCACCAAGGCAGGGTAGCACACAGCAGAGGGGCAACTGTTCGTGGCAGTGGAAGACAACAAAAGCAACAAGAGCAAAAGGGAAAACAAGCCTCTTCCTACCTCTTTTATCCAGACTGCTGAGATTAGGGTGGTGCCAATCAGTGGATCAGTCCAACACTCACTCACCCTTAATCCCAGCACCCTTAATCCTAGCATTGAGCCATGAATCAGTCACACACTCTAGATTCAGCTACCTCCAAAAAAGCCCCATCTAAAAGTGCATGACGGCCAGGGATATAGCTCAGTGGAACAGCGCCTGCCTGGCAAGCACAAGGTCCTGAGTTTGATTCCTGGTACAAAACCAAAACCAAACAAACAAATAAACAAATAAAAGTGCGTGAGGGCTGAGGCTATAACTCAGTGGCACAGTGCCTGCCTGGCAAGTACAAGGTTCTCAGTTGGATTCCCAGTACTTAAAAAAAAATTTTAAAATGCATTAGGCGGGGCTGGGGATTTAGCTCAGTGGCAAAAGCGCCTGCCTGGCAAGCGCAAGGTTGTGAGTTCGGTTCCCGGTACCGGAGAAAAACCAAAAAAAAAAAAAAAAAAGCATTAGGCTTTGGGGGGACATCCAGACACAAACGGTAACAGTAGTCTATAATTATTTACTGTGTTGGTTAGGTGTATATTAAAAATCATACAAAATACAGTATTTAGAGATGTTACTCTTTACTCTTTTGTAGTGTTTCGGATCAAACCCAGAGTCTTGGACATGCTAGGCAAACATTTGACCTCTGAGCTCTAACCCCATACCTTAAACCAAGCTTTTAAGCACTTGTTTATAATGAATCTAACCGCTGATACTATGAGGTCACACCTTTAACAGTAATTACTAAATCAGCTGTAAATCCTCCCCCCTTTTTTATAAGTGATTGTGCCAGGTAATGTTTGTTAAATATCCGGAACTTGCAGTAATCAATGTCATTGTGGGCTGAGAGATTTCATCCCCAACAGTTGTTTATACAAATAAAGAAAATGGAGTGTGCTAGCATAAAAGAGATCTTGAGTCCTTACAAATAAATTCTACTTCCTCCGTTAAGGGTGATTTTTTTTCTTTTTTTCCTTTGCATTGTTGGGGCCCAAATGCAGAGCAAGGGGTGGCTTTTGAGAAGAGAGGAATCTTACCTTGTATTTAGACACATGTACTAGTCTTTATCTCCAAAAAGAAACTGTTTTTCTCAGTTTATATTTGATAGCATAGTCCTTCAGCATTTCTTTACTCTTGCATTGTTGATAAATATACAGTATAAATAACTTCATACCTAATTAATGTTATTCTTTTTATTCGTTATAAAGAAAATAACAAACCACATGGTGGTGCACATCTGTAATCCATGTTCTGAGAGGCAGAGGCAGAAGAATCACAGGTTCAAGGCCAGCCTGGGCTCTATAGCAAGCTCAAAGCTGACATGGACTGTATACTGAGACCCGGTTAAAAAAGTATGGGAGGGATAATGTGAACAGCAGCTCGAGAAGATGATGAGTAGCAGCAGACACCGGCTTTAGTGTTGAGAATGATAGGGAGCTCTGGGACATAGATTAGACAGAGGCAAAAGGTGGAACCTACTTTACCACGTGGAAATGCAGGCTCAGCACTGCTGGATTTGCTGAACTAAAAGAATGGAGTCAAGAATGGCTCCATGGTTCCTGGTACCAGAGAAAAACCAAAAAAAAAAAAAAAAAAAAAACCAAAAAAGAATGGCTCCATGACTTCTGGCCCAAGAAAGAAAGCAGCTTTGATATAGGAGAATAAGCATTTCAATGCTAGACAGGTTCAGTCGCACATTTTAGATCTCCAAGACTCTCCAGTGTCCAGAGCAGGTGTTTTCTGTCCTGCCCACTTGTGTTCCTTGGGCACTGAGAACAGAACCTTCCCTGTAACAGGCACATAGGTTTACAGAGTACTCAGTATCTTTTGCTGTCTTCACACAATTTCGTCTGCTGAGTGGAATTATAAATCCTAGGTAACAGAATGGCTTAAAAGTTGGGAGAAGTGGAAGCATAGTTTTCTTGAACACTCCTTGCCTTTTCCGTATGCCCTAAAAACTGAGAGGAGCTGGGTATGATAGCACATACCTATAATCACAGCTACTGGAGAGGCTGACGCAGGAGGATCGTGAGTTTGAGTCTTGCCTGGACAACATGGTAAGAGCCATCTCAAAGAAACAAAACCAAGAGAACGTAGTAGACAAAGATCAATTTGGATTGCTAAGAAAGAATTGCCTTACTACACTGGGTTGAGTACAGTGGACCCTCAGAATTCGCCAGGGTTCCGTTCCTAGAGAACCTGTGAATTATGAAAAAAATACAAATTTCAGATATATAATCCAAAAAAGGCCTGTAAATGCCTGTTTTTTACAGTTTAGACCCTAAATATGGTATGTTTCCCACTGTTACATAATTTAATAAAATACTATATTAATGAAGTCTTAGAAGGTGTAGGGCATTTTGGTGGCATCTTAGGGCTCTTAGGGCTCTTAGAAGAACAAAACCAGGTACACTCAAGGTAGCTACTTGAGCAGCCTGTTCTGACGTGGGAATGCTGGTGCATCTGTCACACATGGGTTATAGGGCAGCAGCCAGTCGGCAGCAATGAGAACTGAGTAACACAGGTTGGCTACTTGCAAACGTCCCGCCAAAAAAAAATTGCAGAGGGTACTTGGGCTTTCTTCAAAATTCCAAGGGGTTCTGAGAACAATTATTAGGTTCTAAGGAAAAATCCACAAACGACTGAGGCCTCAAACACTGAACCTCTGCCTTACAGAAGTAAACTGTATCACCTGATCTGGTGCCCATGGAAGGAGCAGTTATTTGCATACTGCTGAAAACCTTTAGACTGTACACTTCTTTTATTTATTTATTTTTTTGTGTGGTTTTTCTCCGGTACTGGGAACCGAACTCACAACCTTGCGCTTGCCAGGCAGGTGCTTTTGCCGCTGAGCTAAATCCCCAGCCCCTGTACACTTCTTTTAGTTCTCTCTTCCTCAGTCCTAAAGGATTTTACCTGGAAAATGAAATTAGAGGCACTTTAAAGATTATTAGGTTGTGAAGCTGTAAGCCCAAGATTGTCTTGAGAAATTACTAGGCTATAGAAGCAGATCTAGAAAAATAAGACCAGGGTGTTAAAAGATTATTGTTGAATGACTTCTAAAAATGTTTTCTAATGTATCTCATTTAAAAGTTATTTTAAATTTAAAACAATTATGTTCGAATCACTTTTCTGACAACTGCTTGGGAGATAATCACATGCTGAGAAATTCACCCTTTTAAAGCAGTTACGAGGTTCTTGGTATATTCGGAGTTGTGTGAGCATCATCATTTGTACATTTCAAGCTTCTTCATCCATGTTGAAGCATGTACTTCATTGTGTGTGCATGTGTGCTGTACTGGTGATTGAATCTGGGCCTTTGCAGTGAGCTACATTCCCCAGCCCTTTTTTAACCACTGAATACCTTAGCCTGAGCATCTCTGGGGCAATAGTGCATTTGTTTACATACTCACTAGCCTGAGCATCGCTTGCAGGAATCATTTCAACTAGTTGATTCTCTTTTTCCTGGTTTTTTTGTTGTTGTTGTTGTTTTTTTTTTTTTTTTTTTGAGGTGGGGTCTTGCTATGTAGTTCAGGCTAGCTTTGAACTCACCATGTAGCCCAGGCCGGTGAACTTGCAGCAACCCTCCTGCCTCAGCCTTCTGAGTGCTGAGATTACAGGCATGTGCCACCATGTCCAGCCCAGTTGATTCTTGTATTGAATAAATTTGATAAAATTGGCACTTTTATGTTCCTTGTTATATTCTTCTAAAAATTCATGAAAAAATACACAATTTTTGGTAACCCTGTTACCAAAATAACCTTTTAAATAATTGGACTGGTAAGTGGTTAAAATTTTGAATTAGGGTCTAAGTTGCTAGGTTGCCCAAGCTGGGCTTGAATTTGGGATCCTCATGCTTTAGCATCCTAGAGTGCTAGGATTAGCTTTATTTCTTTTTATGGCTGAATAGTATTCCTTTTTATGGGCAGGCCACACAGGTCATCCCATTCATCAGTTGGAAGACTTTTAGGTTGTGTCCACTTTTTTACTACAGTGAACATTCGTGTACAGGTGTGCACATGCCTGTTTGTTTTCAGTTCTCTGGTGTATCCCTAGGAGGGGAACTGCTGGGTCAGACAGTAACTTTTAAGTTCCTGAAGGTCTGCCAAACTGTTTCCCGCAGTAGCTGAACTCGTACATTGCTACCATTGCAGTGTCAAATTCCAGTTTCTCTACATTCTCACTGTCATGCGTTGTCTGTCATTTTGGTTATAGCCATACTAGTGGATAGAAAGTGGTCCTTACTCTTTGTTGAGACAGGGTCTTACTACATAACACAAGCTGGCCTCAAATTTGTAATCCTCCTGTCTCAACTTCCTAAATGCTTGAATCATAGGCCACCATGTGCAGCTCATTATCCATAGTTACTAACAGCCCCCCGCAAAAACTCCATCCTGTGCAGTTGCAGACTAACCCTACAAGCACATTAAAGATTAAAAAAAAAAAAAAAAAAAAGCACATCTTTTTTTTCTTTCCCCTGCAGCTGAAACAGAACCTCATGAGGGGAAGAGGAAAGTGGAATCTCTGTGGCCCATCTTCAGAATCCACCACCAGAAAACCCGCTATATCTTCGACCTCTTTTACAAGCGGAAAGCTATAAGCAGAGGTAATTGGCTAAATTCTCTCTTAGCCTTTGAACTTGAGTAACTTTCAGAATTATTCAGGTAACGATCCTTATCCCTACAACTTCTGTAAGTATCATGAGTCTTCTTACCACTAAAACTAGGGAAGTTTTTCTTTTTAACCAAGGGCAGGTCGGGTTTGTTATGCTGTGATCCGATGCCCTTTCCTCGTCTTTTGACAGAACTCTATGAATACTGTATTAAGGAAGGCTACGCAGACAAAAACCTGATTGCAAAGTGGAAAAAGCAGGGTTATGAGAACTTGTGCTGCCTGCGATGCATTCAGACTCGCGACACCAATTTTGGGACGAACTGCATTTGCCGGGTTCCCAAAAGCAAGCTGGAAGTGGTAAGGCCTGATGCTGAAGTCAGCTGTTTTCTTCAGTTCTTCAAAACACTGCCCTAGTCATCTCCAAGCAGTTTTGTAGCATTTGGTTTGGCTGGAGGATGGGTTTTGTCACTGGAGTCCTAGGACAAGTCCCTCTGTTGAGACGTCTGGCAGTGATCTTGTTTGGTGTTGAGCCAAACTCAACTCCACCTGTGGGCAAGTAGCTGAACCTCAAAGTGGTAGGAGGACTCCATCAGGGAAGGGTGGCTGCTCAATTCCTTTCACGTCATGACCATTGCAAACTTAGTTAGCTTGGGCACCCTGGAGCGGTACCAGGTGTGTAGCAGCTCGACTTCCCCACCCTTCAGAACAGAGCTGCAGAATGAGGCAGAGTAACTGGCACACTGCCCACGAGTGCGACACCCCCCAGCAGACAGCTGGCCCTGCTGAAGGTCAGGCTGGATGGCCCATCTCCCGGTTCAGTCTTAATTTCCCTTACTTCACACCGGCGTGTCATCCATGGTGCCGTTTGCACTGCTGCACCAAGAGTTAGTTCCTGGAGCTTTGGGTCGGTGCCAAGGGCTTTCACTCACAGGCGAGTCTCCCTCCCTGCATGTGTACAGGCTCAAGCACGGACGTTGTAAGCAGTGAGTCACGGGGGCACCTCGAGGGGAGGGCTTTGTGAGGTAGGCAGGGGGCTGGCATGGGGCAGACCCACCCCCGCCAAGAGCCCAGGATTCCATGGGATGTCTGGTTGGGCTTGTTTCCTGTCTGTGGCCCAAACAGAAGCTACCTGAATTTAACTGGTATTCACCATCTTACTTTCACTAGGATCTTGCTCATTCAAGAGAGTTAAAAGAAATACACAGTTACTCTAGGGCATCTGATGCCCTAGAGGGGGTTGCTGGGCAGACCCCCAGCCAGACACCAGGCCTGCAGGACAAGGCTGTCTTGCTGCCCACAGGAAGTCAGGTGCACTTACCCTTCTGCCCTAGTGTTCCTACCAACAAGTGTCCCAGCCATGGCACTGAGCCCCCTGAGCAGTAGCACACCCACCTCAGCTCACTGGTAGAGAGTAAGACTCATCCACAGACTTTTCTTTTTCCTTCTTTTTTTGATGAACAAGAATGTACACTGAATTTGCATCAGTTTAATATATACATAGATAAAACATCAGTGTTGACAGTCACTGTTCTTTTTTTTTTTTTTTTTTTTGAGACAAGACAGTGTGCAGTTCAGACAGACCTTAACTCACTTCCTAGCTTATAGCAGTCTAAAGCTTATAGTGATCGTCCTGCCTCAGCCTCCCAAGTGCTAGGATTACAGATGTGCACCACCACTCCTGGCTTGTGTTTCCCTTTTCCTGAGGGAATTGAAATCCTGTCCAGTACTGTCCATGAAGGGTTCTGAGAGGTGCCCTGCAGGAAGTCCCATTGGCACCCTACTCGGGACCATTGTGTGGGAGCCGTAGGTGTGGTAGTAGCTGGGCACAGTGTCACAGTCAGCTGTCCTCTGTTGCAGGGTCGCATCATCGAGTGTACGCACTGCGGCTGCCGGGGCTGCTCTGGCTGAGGCCATCTGGCCCTGAGCCCTCTCCATCCTGGACTGTGGACCTTACAGGTTCTTACTGTGCCACCCTCTTCCTGGGAGCAACTCTTGGAGCAGCACCCTGGGCCCTCGTTGGAGCGTGGTCTCCTCAGGTGAAGGCTTGGTGTTCACCAGCTGTGCTTTGTAACAATAAAACCTTTGAGCCTCTTGGGTCTCGCGTTACTCTTTCAGGGCAGCCAGCACAGAACCAGGGAGAGTATGGGGCCCAGGGACCACCTGTTCCTTGGATTCCCTTCCCTACCTCATAGGTGTTGTGGGAATAGGAGTGACAGCCTCTCAGGCGAGGGTGACCTGAGGTGACAAGCAAAGGTGGCTTGAGCTGCTGCAGGACCTGCTGGGAACTTGAGCAGCCTGGGCCTGGCATATGTCCTCAAACCAACACCTGCAGCATGCTGTGGCTCCCGCCAGGCACCGAAGGGCCCACATACTTTGTTCCAGCCACGTGCCCTATCACCTGCCCCCAGCGCCTCCGTCTGCACCAGTGTCTCTGGCGGTGTCCTGGTCTGTGCTGGGTTTGGTCCGGAACACCTGCCAGGGGTGGGGAGTTTCCTCTGCTGGCATCACTTTCAGCCACTGCTTATAATAAGCTCGGAAGCCATCAATCTTCTCCAAGTAGGTGTTCTTCCCTTGGTACTGTAATTGGAAAAGAAACATGGGGTTCAGGGGAGACCCTGGACGATCCAAATCACAGCACATCACCTGCAGCTGATCCCGGAGCACAGCAGCTGGCATAGGCCTTGAAGCTGGTCCCTGCTGCTCACCCTTCAAGGGGCCACAGGCAGCAGCACAGGAAAGCTCAGTGTGGGCGTGTCTTCCTGAAGGTGTGCTGCAGTGCTCCTTGACCTGTGGATGTCACCTTAGCCCACAAGCTAGAACCCTGGGTCCCACCAACAGTGGCCTCTGGGGTCTGCTAAGTACTTCCCCCTCAGCATAGCCACTGCCTCCCTAGACAAGCAGTAAAAGGAAAAATAAGACAAACCTAGTAGGTCCTGAAGGAAAACTGGAAGGAGGCTATGCAGAAAAAAATAGGATCACAGATGAAGGATGTCTCCATATATAATAAAAGGTTTGGTTCAAAAGATCTAGCAGTTCGAAACTTAAATGTACCTAATACTGCCTGAAAGTACACAAAAAGCAAAACTTGCTGGGCATGGTGGCCACCTATAAAATCCCAGCACTCAGGAGCCTGAGACAAGAGGATTGCTGAGCATTTAAGGCCGGCCTAAACTACGCAGCAAGACCCTGCCACAGGGAAAGAAAGCAAAACTTGACAGAATCACAAACAGATAAACAAGCCCCACAACATATCTGTATATGGTTCAGATACAAGGAACTTCAAGCCTCGGGTAGTCTTGTGACTGGTGCTAAACCTAAGAGGACCCCCATGGTGGCTCCTAAACCACAGTGGAGAAAATCCACCTAACCAGAAGTATTTACAACATGCAACTGGCAAAGACTCGCCATCTGGTATAGAAAACTCAGGATTCAATGAAGAGTCCAAAGACATGGCTGTGCCCTCTGCCTGGCACAGCTTCCCTGTTCCACCCATTTCTCACCAGCTTTCCAAGTAGCACCCAAGTGCCCCCCTACAGAAGGCTCCTGAGTCCCTGCCCCTGGCGCGCATGCCATTTATTGTCAGCTTCCCTGTGGGTTGTGGGCTGTGCACTGCCAAACCAGCTCCATCACTGCTCTGCTGCCGCCGCCCCTGGATTCACAAGCAGCCTGCAGGCACTTGGGGCCCACGAGCAGGGCAGACAGCACCCACCACTAGAAGCTGAGTGAAAGAGGAAGTCACACACATGCACGCAGCATTACAGACAGCCACGGCACGAGGCACGGGGCTGCATGCTGTGGGGAGAGGCAGGCAGCAGGGCATTTCTGAGGAAAGGCTTTTCAGGCAGAGACCTACAGCAGAAAGAACCCAGGGCGTCTATTTCAGGAGAGGAGACAAATGTTTCCAAGGCAGGAAAGGAGCCAGTGGGACTAACAGTCAAGCATGAGAAGACCCGAGGGACACACAGTCAAAGACTTAGGGATTTCTGCTAAGGGAAGCTGCTGGACAGTTTTAAACAAAGAAATGCCCGCTCCAAAAGGCTGGAACCAGGGTGGTCTGGTCAAGGAGAAAACGAGCATCTCAGAGCCCGGGGCCTTTACCCGGTCAAAGGTGGGTGGGTACTCGGCTGCAAACTCCAGCTGGCGGATGACCACCTCATTCACCGGAACTCTGCTGCGCTTCATGTCCTTCAGGATGTCGATGAGATAGGTGTAGTCCAGCTTCTTGAGGGCTGCATTGATGAGGGTGCTATAGATGTGGGTGTTTGGGGTCATCTGGGATTTCTGGAACATCGTGGATATCACACAATTAGCAAGATGCTGGCAGCAATGAGCACAAACAGCTCACTGTGGCATACCCAGCCTGGGGAGCGGCCCTGCCAATCAGGTTTGCTCTAAAGACAAGCAGGGCCAGGAAGGGTGGGACCTCACAGCAACAACAGTCTGTCCTCTCCCATCCAGAAGCAAAGCGAGCATGTCCTGCCCTCTCAGCCCCCGAGAACGGTGTGGGAAGACTGTGCCGCTCTGAGACTGACTGACTCAGCCAGAAGATGAGGCAGGAGACTCAATCTCATGGCTCCTGTGTTTACTGGTGACGTCATCACCAGGAGGTGGCATTGAGCCTAGAAAAGCAACCGGCACTGGCTGGGCAACACAAACCACCTGGGCCCAGAGAGTACTCTGCTGAGGTCAGATGAAATGCACTTAGCGTGCTCTCAAAGGGGACTGGGCGGGATGTGTATCAGAACCATTTAGAGGCTGTGAAAACGGCCCTTTGCCCCCTAGGACTTCTGATCCATCTCCCCTCTAGACACCTCCCAGGGAGGGCACCCAGGCCCATCGCCACCTCTCCTTTGCCCCCACCACCACCTTCTTCCAAGATCACACAGGTCAGAGGTGCTCAGGGTGGTACGGCTGTAGACTCCACCGCCTTCTTCAAGATGAGATCGCCCTCTGCTCTCTGGGCCTATTGTGACAGCAAAGGCTCCTTGCCCCAGAGGCGGCTGATGGCCATTCTGCAGCGCAGCAGAGCTGCCCCATTTGCCCCACCCCAACCCCGACTTCCTTCCAGAGCTCTGAGTGCTCCGAAGCACCACAGGCGTGCTGCCTGCGTCTAGGTCCCCTCACCTTCATGTCTGCAAGCAGCTGCACACCGTCTTCATGCCTACGACACCCAATGGCCAGGTTGCAGAACGTCTGCAGATTGGGGATGAGTCCCCTCTTCGCCAGGACTGGCAACAGCGCCTGAGGACAGATATGCTGTCACTGTAACCCGTGACCCTCTAGTGCCGGTGAGGCCTTTGGCGAAGCCCTTGGCTGGACACTGGAGACCCCAGGGGCACAGCTCTGTGTCCTGTGCAACTTTGCTCAGGACATAGCTCCTCAGCACTTGCACTGTGACCCCCAGCCTGCCTGTTCCTTGTCCATAAAAGCCCTTCATATTCCCAGTGCTCCCACCTGCCACCGTGTGCTCCTCAGGTGGCCATGCCCGCCCTCGGTCCCAGCACCAGGTTCCTTGAGAACTGAATCAAAGGAGGAGTTAACCCTGAGCAGAGTGGGAAGTGCTGGCTTAAGGGGCCCCAGACAGGTGTGAGGAAGAGGGTCGTCCCCACAGACTGGCTGAGCCAGAGAGGGCCCCAGGGGAAGGGTTCTATCATGCTTAGCCTGCCCAGAGGAAGATGTGTTTCTACTGCAGGCCTGAAGGGACATTGGAAGTGCCTCGGGTACTGTTTCTGGCAAAAAACAAGTCACATAAGCCAGGTGTGGTGGCATATATCTATAATCCCAGCACTTGAGAGGCTGAGGCAGGAGGATCACTAAGTTCAAGGTCAGCCTGGGCTACATAGTGAGTTCAAGGTTAGTCTGAACTACATAGGGACACCCTGTCTCAAACAAAACAAATCAAAACAAAACAAGCACATCACATAAAAACTTATCCTAGGAGGCCAGGCACTGTGGTACATGCCTGTAATCCCAGCACTCGGGAGGCTGAGGCAGGAGGATTGTTGTAAGACCAGCCTGGGCTACAAAGGGAGCTCAAGGCCAGCCTGAACTGCATAGCGAGACCCTGTCTCAAAAGAGACAACGAACAAACGAAACTTATCCTAGGAATAGGCAAAACCCTGTTATGAGTGAAGCGTGGTAGTTCAGGTGTGCAGTCCCAGCACTCAGGAAGCTGAGGGAAGAGGATCATTGTGAGTTCAAGGCCAGCCTGGGCTACACAGTAAAACCCTGTCTCAGAAACACAAAAAACCAAAACTGTTCTACTCCCAGCCTGTTATACTGGGAGTCATGGTACATTTCCCTAATCTTGGCACTCTGGGAGGCTGAGGCAGAAAGACCCCAAGTTCAAGCCTAGCCAGGCAACTTAGTGAGACACTGTCTCTCAAAATTAAAAAAATCAGAAAAGGGTTGGGGGTGAAGCTCAGTGTGAAGACCTTGCACTCAACTCCCAGTACTTCAAAAAGCAAAACAAGCACACACACACATACACACACAGACAAAAAACCAACAAACACCACCAAAAATCCTGTCAAGGGCCTCACATTCCCACCAGTGCCTTCTGGTGTGACTGGTTAAGAAGCAAATGACACGAGGCTCTGAGAACAGCATCTAGCACAGAATAAGCATAGTGTCAGGGCCTGGGGCATGCAGACAGGGACACTCATCAGTGTCACTGCAGTCATCACAGGCTGCCTCCCCAAGTGAATTCTCACACCTGGCTCAGTAAGGCCAAGGCCACTCCCACAGCACCTGCCCATCTTGTACCCCTCTCGCCCGTGTAATGACATGTTTGGCACCTCCTTCCCCACCAAGGGAGGGTCCCACCCCAAGCCCCTTACCTTCGCCCCCTCCAGGTCCCCCAGCTTGCTCCTCTTCCTCATCAGTGTGTTGAAGAATGTCACGTCAGCCTCCACCTGGTGCCTATCCAGGACGGTCAGCAGCGAGGACTCCGCAGGGCTCCCAGGCTCCACCAGCTCAGCCAGCAGTGTGAGGGTCTTGATGTCGGGCTGCAGCCCATGCTCCGCCATCTTGCCCAGGAAGCCTTCCAGGCCCCCCATCAAGACCAGCCTGTCAGCAGGGGTGGTCACTGTCCCAAGCGATACCACAGTTGGGGAGACAGCCCCAAGGGATAGGAGGTTGACCTCCACCTCCAAGGGAGGTGGCTTTAGGGGTCCAAGGCTAAGGGTTGCAGTGTGGCTGGGCTCTGCCTTGGTTCCCACCTCAGGCTGGGCCTCACCAGGCACTGCGGCCTTCAAAGGCTCTGGAGGAGCCTCAAGTGCTGCAGAAAGTTCTGTAAAGAGCTGCTTCTCTAGGGCCTCCACATGCAGTCTGGCTGACATGCCGCCACTTGCTCTAGGCGGGTGTCTCTTCCCTGCCCGCTGCTTGCCTTCTGGGGGCTGGATCAGGACCTTCTCGCTGGACCTCAAGAGCAACCTGGAGGCCACATCTGGGTCTCCCAGGCCACAGTCTCGAGCTGCCCCCAGGAGCAGGTTGTAGCCATGCCGGTTTGGCCTGAGCCCCAGACTCAGCATCTGCCTCCACACCTGCTTGGGGACAGACAATCATCAGCTCAGTGCTCCTGACAGTAAGAGCCTCCGTCAGAGGTGGGCACTGTGAGGCGGTGGTCAGACCAGCAAACTCAAAAGGCACCAGAAGGCTGGGGGGGGTAGCACAGTGGCAGGCCCCTCGGTGCATCCCCAGGACTGCCCCTACCCTACAACTTCTTAAATTATTGCTGGGGGTGTGACTGAGTGGTAGAGCACTTGCCTACTACACATGAGGCCTTGGGTTCGATCCCCAGCTGCAGTAAAAAAAATAAAGAAGATTGTAGGGTATGGTGGTGCACAACTGTAGTCTCAGCACTCAGGAGGCTGAGGCACGAGGATCGCTAAAGACCCAGGGTTCAAGATTAGCCTGGGTAACATAATGAGACCTCATCTCCAAAAAAATCAATCAAACAAACAAAATAAAACAACAACCAAAAGCAAAGAATGTTTCTAACCCAATACCCAGCTCTGGCAACTAAGAACTATCGAAATTCTAAAACTCCCTAGAAGGCCTCATAGGGCCAGCAACTTTCCTCTCCCTCCTCAAATTCACCTCAAAATTGTTCTCATGTCTCACTGCCATCCCCCAGAGTTCCTTTACCTGGGGTCCCCGCTCACGTTCTCCTGCTCTCCCCTAAAGGACGGATGGCCAGAGAGCCTAGGTTCTTTTTTTTTTTTCCAGTACCAGGAACCGAACTCACGACCTTGCACCTGCCAGGCAGGCACTGTGCCGCTGAGCTACATCCCCAGCCCCCGAGCCTAGGTTCTGCAAGAGTCCAGGCTAATGTTTGAGGCCGGGATTCAGGAGCACCTCCCAAGTGCCCACTCCCCACTCTGGCCCAGACTTCCTTGAGACCAGGCAGAGGTCAGGACAGAGCCAACACAGAGCCAGCGAAGCACAGCACCAGCATTAGGCAGGCTGCAGCGTAAGCCCTCAGCCCTCCTAGCTGTAGACCCCAGGACCACATGTATGTATCCTGTATGTATTTTCATCACACCTAGTACATTCAATGTGTGATCAACAAACACAGCTCTGATCACACCTGGGTAGCTCTGATACTAGCCCAGGCTATGCCGTTTTTTTCTATTTTTATGGTACTGGGGATTGATCCCAGGGCCTTCACAATGAGCTACATCCCCAGCTCTTTTTTATTTTGAGGCAGAGTCTTGCTGAGTCACTAAATTGCCCAGGCTGGGCATAAACTTTCAGTCTTCCAGCCCCAGCTTCCCAGAGTGTTAGGGTCACAAGCAAGTGCTGTTACGCCTGGGTGAAGACCATGCTGTTTCTGGGTTTTGTTTTGCTTTTCAGATGGGCAGATTCTCCTGTCTCAGCCTCCTGAGGGATGGGATCACAAGCACGCACCACCATCTTTAAAATACTGCATGGGCTCACTCCACTTTGCCTATGGGCTCAACAGAAGTCTGCACTCATTCTAGGGCTGGGACACACATCTGACACTGCACCTTCATTGGAGGAGTGTGCCGATGGGGAAGAGCAAGTCAGGCCCCAGCTGGAAAATCTTGCAAGGGGACCAGTGCTCACTGGGACAGGGTCTTAGCAGCCACACCCCTCAAGGAATGGTTGACAGAGGGAGGTGTAAGGAATACCCACTATCCCACAGCAGCAGAGTGTGGCGGCAAGGATTCAGGACTGGGGATCAAATGAATGTCAGTTTAACCCTGGGTGGGTCTCAGTGGCTATGGGATCTCAGACAAGCTACTGATCTCCGTGAGCCTCAGTTCCCTCAGCTGCAATACGGGGCTAACAAGCCAGATATGGTGGCTCACGCCTGTAATCCCGGCACTCTGGGAAGCTAAGGCAGGAGGATCACAAATTCAAGTCTAGCTTAGGCAACTTAGTAAGACCCTCTCTTAAAATAAAATAAAAAGGCCTCGGGATGTAGCTCAGTGTGAAACCTCTGGATTCAATCCTCAGTCTTGCAAAAAAGAAAGCGGGGTTGCTCAGTGTGGTGGCATACACCTGTAATCTCAGCACTTGGGAGGCTGAGGCAGGAGGATTGCTGCGAGTTTGAGACCAACCTAGGCCTCACAGTGAGTTCAAGGCTTGCCGAAACTGCATAGTGAAACCCTGTCTGAAAAAAGACAAAAAAAGAAAAGAAAAAAAAGAAAGGGGGTTGAGGGGAGCCAAAACTACTGATACCTAGCAGAAACAGGGCAGTAAGTACACAACACAAACATCAGGGCAACAGACTACTTCTAACTAGAACAGATCTAAGCGGAGAATTAGAAACAACTGTATCTTAGCTAACTTTTAAGGAAGTTCCTGAGGATCAGAAGATGGCTGCTCACTACTGCCAGAGACTCTGCAGAGGAGACACAATCATCTGCTCCTGCGTCATCCCCAATCAGGGTCAGACTGTGCAAAGTGCCACGGAGCCTGCTGTACACACGAAGGTAAGGACAGGGCTAGTGCTGCTGCTCTGTGGAGCACGTGTGAGGACAGAGCCAGAGGGACCCGGAAGCCACACAACGGCTGCGGTGCCACTGCCAACACCAACTCGTGGGGGAAGCGGGCGGAGGTGAGACCAGAGCTGTGTGTTTGCCTCTGCAGCTACGAACACATGCCACAGCCCTGGGCCGCACCTGCAGAGATGCTGAGAGGAGAGGAGGGCTGCGAGGCAGACTGAATTTGGGCCCTAAGTAGTGCACTGCAGGCTGTCGGGGATCAGGAGGTTAGAGGGTCTAGGCTGCCCACCCAGCACAGCAGGAGAGCTGAGCGGGCTGTGCCCTCACCCAAGGGACTGCTCTCCCTACCATTCATAAAACCGGGAGCAGTGTGCCCTGCAGCAGCTGCTGAGAAGACCAAAAGACGGCAAATATAAAAGCACCTTGCTAGGAGTGGTAGCGCATGCCTATAATCCCAGCACTAGGGAGGCTGCAGCAGGAGGACTGCTGCGAGTTCAAGGCCCACCTAAAGTAAAAAGTGAGATCTTGTCTCAAAAATGAAAAAAAAACAAAAAACAAAAAACAGCTGGGCACAGTGGTGCATACTTATAATCCCAGTACTTGGGAAGCTGAGGCAGGACTGCCAAGAGCTTGAGGCCAGGCTGGGCTACATTGTGAGTTCAAGGCCAGCCTGAACTACACAGTGAGACCCTGTCTCAAAAAACAAAATAAACATCCTATCTGGCAAGCATGAGGCCCTGAGTTCAATTTCTGGTACAAAAAAACCAAAATAAAATAAAACAAATAAATGCACCTGCCATGGGACAGTAGTAGGTGCTCAGGAAACATGACCAGGATCATCATCCAGCAGCCTGGCACAGCCTCATGCGAGAGGCAGGGCTAGAAGCCAAGGTAGGAGGAACAGACCTGCAGCGCATGTCGGAAGCCAGTCTTCTTGTCCTGGATGCAGCCCATGAGCAGGAAATTGAAGGTCTCCTCTGTGACGACGTGGCCTTTGTGGACGATTTCCTGGGGAAGAGAACAAGGCAGTGCCACTGAGAACTGAGACAGGGCCCAGGCTTAGGCCAGATGACATCTAACTCTTGTGGGCCAGGAGCAGCTCTGTCCATCTGGGGCCTGCTCAGAACCAGCTCCTGAACAATGTACCAACTGCTGCCCTGCAGCCTCTGGGCCCTTCTGCCCAGCTCTGGTCCCAGCAAGTCTGGGCAGCTCTGCAAAGACCAGCTCAGCGGCCTGCTTAGTCCCCCAACTCAAGGGTCTGGAATCACACGTGGCTTCTCGCCCCAGCTCCACCACTGGCCCGCTGTGGGCCTCAGCTCCCAGGCCTTAGTTTCCTCATCTGTGGAAGGATGTGCTTTCTGGGACCTGGGAACAGCCTAACTGTGTGGTGCTGCCGATGGTGAGTCTAGTTCCCACGGACCTCTGGGGTGTCAGGGTTGGCTGCAGCCTACTCTATACTCTCCTTCCACCTCAAGTCCCTCCTCTGTCCCTTTGGCCAGCACAGGGGCTTTCTGCCTATATCATCCCTGAGAAAAATGAGGGCATTTGACACTGTGTTCTGTCCTTTTATGTTCCCAAGACTCATGAAGTCAAGGGGCCACTGTAAACTGACAGGTTCTGCACTGTCCAGATAAATATTACTTGAACAACACAAGACACGAGGCAAACTAGTGTTATCTGTAGAAACTGCCTTCAGGACCGTGTGCTAAGTCAGCTGTTCCTTGGAATGCTGGTCATACAACAGAGCAAAGTAAGCTTCAGATGTCACTGTCCCTCTCTGCAATAACTGAGTGCAGAACAGAGCTCCGTGGGGTACTACAGTACACCCAGCCACCATTGGACACTCTGAGCTTTCTGGAAGTTTCCTGCCCCCACTGGATCTTCTGGTGATTTCCTGTCTGCCTACTGCCACTCAGCAGGCCCGGGCAATTTCCTGTCTGGCCCCCTGCCCCCTGGACCTTCTGGTGATTAATTAATCTAGCCTGCTGCCAATGGACATTCTGGGTCCCTTCTGGTGACTTTCCTATCCAGCCCATAACCACTGGATCTTATGCTTTCCTGCTACTAAGTGTTAATTCACTCTGTCCTTTGCTGCTGTTGTTTGGGTTTTTTGTTCTTGTTTTTGTTCTTGAGCCAGGGTCTCAATGTGTAGTTAAGACTGGGCTTGAACTCACTGTGGAGCCCAGGCTGCCTTCAAACTTTCAGCAATCCTCCTGCCTCAGCCTCCACAGTACTACAATTACAGGTGTGCACCACCATGTCCAGCTGCTGTTAATGACTTAATGAAGCTTCCCTCTCACAAGCCATCTTGGGTATTTTCTTTAGTCCTCAGAACTTACTTTGACTGTCCCAGCACACTTGGTGGACAGGACACCGTCCCACTCCTGCCACTCTCCTGCTCCACTGCCCCGCAGCAGACCAGGTGTCAGACCCAGGCCTCCCACGCCAGGGTCTTGTTGCATTCATGTTTAATCCCCACAACCCAACACAGGTGGCTGTTTTATCTTTCCTGAATCTCCTGTAGGAGGGAAGAAGCCAACCTCTGCCTTACCCCTGACATGGAGGGCTGGGCCCCCTTTGGAGGGGCCAGAAGAAGAAGTGACCCCACCTTGAATACATCGAGGCACATCCTCAGGTCTGCACACCTGGCGGCCACCTTCAGCAGGGCATGGTACGTTTTCAGATTGAGCTGGAAGTTTTTGGCCCGGAGCTGCTGTTGGAGCTTCAGGGCACTCTGCAGAGCTGAGTCCTTCCAGGGGGACTCGGCACAGACATTGAACAGGGCTGTGTATGTGGCATCAGAGGGCTCCAGGTCTCGCTTCTTCATCTGTTAAGATGGGAGAAACTTAGAGGTGGCTCCAGGATCAGGTAGTGACAGAAAAGAGCAGCTACCCCAGGGGACCTTAGAGAGATCTCCATTCAAGCAGTCTCAGACTATGCTGCGGGTCAGATCAAAATCTAGTGTCTAAACCCTTGACTTCACCGGAGAGACCCTAAAAAGGGTGACTGTACCCTCAGAAGTGCCAAGAAGAAACCATTCTCTCTGGATCTGCTCCAGGTCAGCCTGCTGCAGGTCTGGAGTTCCCACCCTCAGGTCAGACCAGGTCACCCTGACTGGCAAGGGGCCACAGAGTGGGTCTGGCTGGGAAAGGGAGTGCAGTACTTTGAGCGGAGGGGTTGTAAACAACGGAGCTCTCAGGAAATGGGGGTGGGGGTGGGGTGGGGGTGGGGTGAGGCCGTCATCCTGAGAAGTAGGTACAGGTGTCAGCAGGAGAGCAGAGGCTGGTGTTCTCGGGCAGCCCCTGACCTCTGAGACACACACTCAGCCTGTCCAGCCTCCACGTGGCTGGGGCTGGCACTTGAGTCTGGAAACGTCACAGTAAAGACAAGCACTTACTATGAGCCGGTGAAAGGCCACCTACCATCCAAGGGCAGGTGACAAAACATTGAGGGGCTTTAAAAAGCTTTCTAGAACCGGGCTGCTCAGGGCTCAAATCCCAGCTCCAATTCCAACGCTCTCAACTCGGGACCCCTTGGTCGTGTCCTATCACCTCTCTGGGCCTCAAATTCTTTATCTGAAAAGTGCAGAGGCTGAGCCCTCCCTGTAGGAAGACCTACACTCTGCACGTAGTTTGTATTCAATGGACGTGGACTAAGGACTCGCACATGCCCTCGGCAGCCCCGGTGGTGAGCAAGGCACACAGTCTCTCTTCACCGAGCAGCCCCTGAAGGAGACGGGCACACTGCAGTGGAGGCAGTACGCACAAGGAGTCAGGACTACTGTGAAGGACGTGGGAAAACAGAGGGTGTGGAGGGAAAAAGAGAAAGTGCAGACAGGATGGCAGTACTCCCACCAAGTGACCAAGGTGAGCGTCATCAGGATGTCATGTTGACAACATACATATTCTAACACAAGGACATTTCTCCACTGAACTGAGCTACATCCCCAGCCCTTTTTTTTATTTTGAGACAGGATCTCACTACATTGTTAGATGCCCAGGCTGGGCTCAAAGTTGTAATCCTCCTGCCTCAACGTCCCAGAGTTCTGAGATTACAGGTATGCACCACCACACCCAGATATCTGGAACTTTCTATACTGTCACTGCAACTTTCCTATAAATCTAAAAGTATTTCAAAGTGAAACGTTTATTAGAAAAAGTACATCAATAAAAAAAGGTGGGGCTGGGGATTTAGCTCAGCGGCAAAGCGCCTGCCTGGCAAGCGCAAGGTCGTGAGTTCGGTTCCCAGTACCGGAGAAAAACCAAAAAAAAATAAAATAAAATAAAATAAAAAAAGGCAACAAAGTGATAAAGAATGGCCAGCGAGCTTGTCAGGGCAGTCTCTTGCCTTTCTGTGCTGGACATACTAGGTTTTTCAAAGGCTATGACATTACTTTTCCATTTGTAAGTGCAGTTCCTCCCCCTGGATTGCAGCTACAGATCATCAGGCATGGACCAGAGTGTCCCAAATGACACGAAGACTGGGGGTCCCAGGAGCTCCTGCTGGCATGAGAACCCTCTAGCTTCTAGCTGCAGAAGACAGCTGTCTCCAGAAGACTCAGCAGTCCTCAGGGGCGAGGCTCTTTATGGACTCATGCAGGCAACCAGCCTCTTGGCTCTGAGAGTGACAATGATGATATACCCAAGAGGCACACGAGTGGAAAGTAAAGTAATCTTCCAGGAGAAATACAATCTTTTTCCAAAGGAGCAGCCTTGGGTGCAGAGTGCATGCATGCACATGGGTAGGGGCAGGAAGGAATACCAGTCAACTGGGCATGGCAGCGGAGCAGCGGCCTCACGGGCCCACTAGGGCCCAGGCAGGTGCCGAAGGACTTGCAAATCATCTCATTTAATCGCCCAAGATCACTTCCAGTTGACAGATGATGAGTCTGACGCCAGGGAGCTTAAGCTGCACCCTCAAGGCAACATATTAGCAAGTGGCATGCTCGGATCTGCACCCAGTTCTTTCTGCGCAGCAAGCCTGTGCCAACCCTTGACCCTGCCACCCTGTCCCACACTCACGTCGTTGTAGAGCCGGAAGGCCTTCTTCAGGTAGCCTGCTCGCCCGCAGCCCCCGATCAGCACTGTGTAGTTGCACTCGAGTGGTTGCAGTCGCTCCTCTTTCAGCATCTGCCTCTCAAACAGATCCAGAGCCTCCACCAGCTGGGAGGGAGAAAAGAAACAACAAAAAAAGAAAATACATAATCCATCAAATGATGATAGGTGTTACAAACCAAAAAAATCAAGAAGTATTGAAGAAGGGTGTGGGAGAATCATTTTTAGATTCAGCCAAGTCCTCACCCAGAAGGTAACATGTGAACAGACTTGAAGAAAGTGAGGGGGGAGGTCCACAGCTCTTTGAGGGAAAAGACAGTGCAAAGGCCCTGACGCAGGAGTATATGTGGGAGCTGAATAAGTGAAACGCTGGGGTGACTGCAGCAGGGTAAGGGAGGGGAGGAAAGGAAAGTGCAGAGGTAATGGAGGGGTGGAGGATGCAGTGGTAGATCTTGCAGGCTTCATAAGCCATTATGAGGACTTTGGTTTTTACTTTTTAACTGTTCATAATGGAGAACTCAAAATGTATACAAAATTGGAGAGGATAATATAACTACAACAATTATAAATGTGTGGTCCATCTTGTTTCACCTATAGCACGCAAATCTCTTCCAAACAGCATGGCTGCTTATGGAGTTATTAATTGTGGTACTGGGGACTGAGCTCAGGCTTCTGCACTGAACTACTGAACTACATCCCCACCCTCTCTTCTTTTTTTTTGAAACAGGGTCTTGCTACATAGTTCAGACAGGCCCTGAACTCATTATGGAGTCTAGGGTGGCCTGAAATTCAGCAGTCTTTCAGCCTCAGCCTTCACATGCTGGGATTATAGGCAAGTGCCACTATCCTAGGCTTCCTCATGCCTTGATTTTGAGGTATGAAAAAAGGGACTTGGTGACAGACTTTTGCTTAGTCACTAAGTTGCCCAGGCTGTACTTGAACTTATGATCCTCCTGTCTCATCTCCCCAGAGTGTTGAGATTACAAGTGTGTGCCACTATGCCTCACTATCAATTCCCCCAAAAAATAAGCTTTTAAAAATTATTTATTTGCTGTACTGGGAATTGAACCATGGACCTTTGTACCCAGCTATATCCCCTGTTCAGTTTTAATTTTTATTTTGAAACAGATCTTACTAAGTCACTAAATTGCTCAGGCTAGGCTTGAACTTGCAATCTGCCTCAGCTTCTCACATAGCTGGGGTTACAGGTACGCACCACCACCCCCTAACTCTTTTTGGAGTGTGGGGATCAAAGCTAGGGTTTCAAGCGAAGTAGGATGCACTGTACCATTAAGCCATACTCCCCCACAGATAAATTATTAAACCTAAAGCCGTAAGTATGCTGTACAATTCCTCTACCACTAAGCTACATCCCAGCCAGAAAATGAACATTAACACCACTGAATATATTGGGAGTTCTGGGAAGAGAGTTAACATGATCCACTTTCTGATCAACAGGACAGCTCTGTGTTATGAGCAAGATGGGAGATGATACAAGCAGCCAGTAGCCCAGGGACAAGTGTCTTAATAACTGAGGAGGCAGAGGAGGCTATTCCTGGGCATTTAAGGGTATGCCTGTAAGAAATTGGGGTGTCAACAATTTGGAGGTAGAGTTCGTAAGAGAAAGAGAAAAAAGAAGCATGACCTAAGGAAATGTGGCCTTGGTGAAATGAAACAATGGTACTGCCATTTAGTTAGATAAAGTATGGAGAAAGCCAGACGTACTGGCGCACATCTGTGATACTAAAACGCTGGGAGGCTGAGAGAGAGAGATTACAAATTTGAGGCCATCCTGAGCAACTTAGCAAGATGCTCTCTAAAAATAAAATATAAGGCTGGGCATGGTGGCACATGCCTGTAACGCCAGCAACTGGGAAGGAGGATCACTATGAGTTCAAGGCCAGCCTGAACTATAATATAAATAATTATTTATTTATAATAACCAAAAATAAATAAATAAATGGGTTGGAAGTATAGTTCAGTGTAAAGGCCTTAAATTCAACCTCTAGTACTGGCCTTAAATTCAATCTCTAGTACTGGAGGGAAAAAGAGTGTGGGGTAAACAAGATTAGGAACAAAATTTTCAGGCTTGGATTTGCACTGGTGGCTATGCAGATCAAGGGTCCACAGCAAGGCCAGGGCTAGAGATATGAACGTAACTGCAGCGGCCAGGGAATACTCAGCGCCATGAGGCTGCTGATCACCAAGGTGAATGAAGATAGATAAGGCTCACGGGCTGAGCGCTGAGCATACCAACATTTACCAGCGGGGAAGGCTGGGCTGCTTTCCAAATACACAAAATAACCGCCCCAGCAGGAAGAAGAACCCAGGGTTCCCTCACCTTTCCTTCCTTGATCAGGCGTTTACACTGAAAGAAATACCAGTATGGGGTATTCTTCCGGCCCCGCCAGGATTTTGGCTCCAGTTCCCCTTCTTCGTCTTCCTCGGCACTCTGTTCCCTGAGCCGCAGGTTATATAACCGGGCTGTTGATTTGTGGAATAATCTCCGGGAAGAATACTTGTTGGAGAGGGTTCCAAAGCTTTCCTCCTCCTCTTCCTCCTGAGGGGCCATGGGGCTGGGCTGGCTCGGCTCAGAGGGCAGGCTGCTTGCATTCTTCTGGTCCCCTTGGCCTAGTGGCAGCTGACAGGAAAAACTACTGAAGGCTGACACCGGCCAGGTCTGCCATATGGCAAGCCGCTCCCTGCCTCCTGCCCATCGGGCTCCAAGGGGGCTGAGATGCTGGAGGATGGACAGTCCCGTGGGGCAGGGGCTGGAGAAGAGCCGGGCAAGTCTCACAAGGTCCATCGCTGGCTTTCCTCTTCCACCAGCACCTGGAGCAAGTCAGGAAACACACGGAAGTCAACACAGGTTCACACTTACAAAAGGCAGAAAGAAGACAGAGAGGTAACTGCAAGCGTGGGTCCTGGAGGTAAAAAGTTTCCGCTCAGATTCCAGCTTTGCAAACAACTCTCTACGAGCCAGTTGTGGTGGTGCACACTTGCAATCCCAGCGCTCTGGGAGACTGAAGCAGGAGGATCACAAGTTCAAGACCACACTGGGCAACTTCGTGAGACCCTGTCTCAAAAACAAAACAAATCCAATTCCCAGTATCACAGGAAAAAACAAAAAATAAAAACAAAAAGACAGAAAGCCTCTGGCCAGGCTTGTATCTAGATGTTCCCCCAGAGTCTCATGTGCCCATAGGTGAGGTTTTTCAGAGGTGGCTGGATCTACAGTGTGTGAATATGGATTAAGGGTGTGTGATAATTAAAGAAATCCACTGATTGCTTTAGCATAGTTCTGGGTGTGGATAGTGAGAGGGTCCAGCCAGCATGTGGGTGGCACCAACCAATAGGCTTGTAGACGGGATGGGATAAAAAGGAAAGGGAAGCTCACTGCTTTGCAGCTTCCTGCCTTCTGCCTGCCCTGCCACAGTCTATTTTTCCTCTGCCACGCTGCCTGGCCTTGGCGCCAGCTGACTACAGACTTAAACCTCTACAAACTGTGTGCTAAAGTAAGCCTCTTAAACTTGTGGGTGTTATATATCTTGTCTCAGAAACAAAAAAGTAACCAAGACATCTCTGAACTGAGATTAACAGTAATGGGATTCACACAGCACTGCAGCAACACACAGCACGAAGCACAGCAGTGACACCGTACAGAGCTGTTAGACATAAACTACAGACACTATGAATCACCACCCTTGAGCACTGGCCCTGAAGTCAGAGCTGAGTTTCAGATCCTGGCCAGACCTCTGTGTTGAGACCTGTTAACTCAGCCTTCCTTTGCCTTGACTGTTTCAACTACAAGATTAAATTGAGATGTTTTTATTCTTTCAGGACTGGGGACTGAACCTAGGGCCTTCTCACCGCACGATATCATCAGTCCCTTTTCATTTTTTTAAGACAGGGTTTAAGCCAATAAATTGGCCAGGCTGGGCTTGAATTTGTGTTTGTGAACCATCTGCCTCAGCCTCCCAGACTTCTAGGATTACAGGCATGCGCTACCACGACTGGCATAAATTGAGATGTTTTTAGCACATGCCTGGTGTTTTAAGAAGTGTTCTAAAGGTATACTATTATTGTTTGCTATTCAAAAAAAATGTTGGCGTTTTGGCCTCTGCAAGTGAAAGCTAACTCAAGCATCTCTCTTCTGCAAAATCTGGCCAAATGGGCAAGAGCTGTGCTAAGATAACAGCCACTCAGGCTGGGCGTGGTGGTGCACACCTGCAAGCCCAGCACTTGGGAGGCTGAGGCAGGAACAGTGCTGTGAGTTTGAGGCCAGCCTGGGCTATATAAGTGAATTCAAGGCCAGTCTGCACTACATAACAAGACCTTGTCTAAAACAATAAAATAAATAAATAAATTAAATAAAATAAAGACAGCAGCCACTAGCCACACGTAATTACTGAGCACTTGAAATGTGGCCAATCTGAATAGAGACTGCTCTTAAGTATACACACACACCAGATTTCAAGGACTTTGAAACACAATATAAAACACACGTAATATTATAACTTCTAAAAATCCTAACGTAATACTTAAGATGTGCTAGACTAAATAAAATATAACATTAATTTCACAATTTCTTTTTAATACGTGAGTAACTGAAAATTTAAAATTATACACATGCGTGCATTATATTTCTGTTGGACCAAAGAAAAATTTTTTTTAAGCTGAAAAAGAGCTGGGGAATGTAGCTTAGTGCAAAAACCCTGGGTTCATTCCCAGTACCACACATATACACACATACACACACACAAATATAGACAGTTTATAGATACTTCTATTAGGCAAGGCTGGGCCGAAGAATCCAGCCTGAATGAAGCCCTTTAATAAAAAATATCAGAATAATGAGCTAACAGCATGAAAATATAAAGGTCTGCTTATATTAGAAGGTCACCATGGGAAAGACATCAGAGGTGATAGTAAATTGAGGCCCAGGGAAGAGACTTGTTAGGGTACTGTAGTAGTTCTACAGCAATACTATACTAGTGTATGTGCTCCCTATACTACTATATGTGCTTCTTTTTAATACATTAAAGGCAAGAACCTATCATAATTTTGAAGCAGAGTTAAGACTTCGTAATTGCTGCAGAAATCCTGTCTCCAAAGGGCGTGGTAGTCCACAGCTATAATCCCAGCACTCGGGAGGCTGAGGCAGTAGGATTGTGGCAAGTTCGAGTCCAGCCTGGGCTACATAGTGAGTTCAGGGGCAGCCTGAACTATACAGCGAGACCCTGTCTCCAAAAAAAAAGACAAGAAGAAATCCTGTCTCCAACTATGATTTACATCCATCATCACTTGAAATTTCAGACACTGCTAACGCTGCTCTGCCTGTCAGGAAAGGAAATGCAGTTTCACATGGAAAAAGTAAAGGTGGAATTTTCTGCCTACTAAATTCATTAATTCACTCAGGTCTAACCCCTGGAAATTAGAGGGTTGGGTGTGCTGGTGCACGCACTGGTGTAAGCCCTACAAGCCGGATGGGGGAGATAGAATTACAAGTTTGAGTCCAACCTGGGCGACTTAGCGTCTCCATGAGACGCTGTCTCATCGACATTTGTATTTATTTATTTATTTACTTATTTTTGTCTTTTTGAGACAGGGTCTTGCTACGCAGTTCGGGCTGGCCTTGAGCTCACTTATGCAACCCAGGCTGGTCTCGAACGCGCAACGATCCTCCTGCTTCAGCCTCCCGAGTGCTGGGATTACAGCCGTTCGCCACCACGCCCGGCCTGTTTCAACGACATTTTTTAAACGGGTAGAGATGTAGCTCGATGCTAAGGCCCTGGGTTCAATCCCAACTACTGCAAAAATAAACGTTTATAAGTAAAATCACTGAATTGGGAACACATCTTTTGAGGGACCCAACCATCCGCAGACGCTCACCGAGACGGACGAAGCAACCTGTCCTCACGCTGGCCTTCAGAGGCTGGGTTTCCTCAGCCCACCTCCCGGGCCAAAACTCCAACGCTCACCGCCCCGCTGCCCTTCCCCGGCATGGACAGTGCGCTTGGGGCCCGGGCGGGCGGATGAGACGGGCTCAGACCTGGGACCCGGGGCTCTTTCGGGGGTCCTAGGATCGCGTCTCTCACTGGGACGCGGAAGCCTCTCCTCTGGGGCCTGGGACCTTCCCCCTTGGACGTGGGAGCCTCCGCCGGGGCCCCCGGACTCCTGAGAATCGAGTAGGGACTCACCCGAAACGTGCTGTGCAAAGAGCGCGACAGCAGAACCCGTACTCGCCGCGTTCAACCCAGGCGCAGAGGTCAACCACTTGCGGGCGTTCTAGTAGACCCGGCCTCGCGCATGCGTACTCTGCGTCGTGCGCTCCCAGTGGCTGGGACTGAGGGTGCCGGAAAGGAGGCGCGTGAGTTTGGCTGGCGGCTACCCGGGCCTGGCGCTCGATTGGCCGTGTCTGAACAGGCAAAAGGACCGGCGCGGGCTCCGGTCGCTCCCGGCATCCCTCGGGCGGCGGCGGCGGCGGCGGCGGGCGAGGCGGAGGTGGACGGTGTGTGGCGGCGGGGGAGGCAGGAAGAGAGTGAGAGTGGCAAGACTCTAGGGGAGCCGGGCCGGGGGGCCGCCGCCGCCGCCATGCAGGAAATCATCGCCAGCGTGGACCACATCAAGTTCGACTTGGAGATCGCAGTGGAGCAGCAGCTCGGGGCGCAGCCGCTGCCTTTCCCCGGCATGGACAGTGAGCGCGGGGCCCGGGTGGGCGGGTGAGACCGGCTCCGACCCGGGACCCAGGACTCTTAGCCCGATCCTGGGACCTCTTCTCGCACTCGCACTCGAGCGCTCTTCTTCTGAGGCCCGGGACCTTTCCACTCGGACCCAAGACCCTTTCCCTGGTCCTGGGAACTATTTCCTCCTCCTTCGGACCGGGAGTCCCCTTCCTCGAGTCTCTGATACCTGGGGCTGCTTCATGGTTATCTTTGGGAGGGCAGGACCTTATCCGTTGTTGACGTGGTTCTAGAGTGAAGGCTGGTGATTCTGGACTAGAACCTCTCCCCACCACACTTCCCAAACTAGGGGAAAGTCCGACCTGGGATTTCCTCCCCACCTCCGGCTCCCTAAGCGCCTTCTTGCTTTCATCCGAATTAGGCTGTTGGAGGACAGCTACCGAGGAAAGGACCGCTTTTCCTGCGCCGTAGCAACTACACGTCCAAACTCCATTCTTTTCCGAGTACTCGCACTCTTGGGAGCGCATTCCTAGTTCTGGGCCTGCCGCAGAACTCGTTTTTCCGTAAACCCCTTTATCACATCCAGGCCCCTAGCGTGGACCCTTGGTGTGAGCTCCCTTTACGCTCTTCACATGGTAGTTTCTGGCTTCCCTCCCTTCCCAGCTCAGGTGGGACATCTTGCACTTTTACGAGAAACCACCAGCCAAAGCGGGGTGACGCATGCCTGTAATCCCAGCATTCAGGAAGCAGACGCAGGAGGATCATGAACTTGATTCCAGCCTGAGCTGCATAGCAAGACTGCCTCAAAGAAGAAACCAGCAGTTTGCTTCTTCCCTTATTTCTGGAAATCCTTGAAGTCTAATGTTGTAGCTCAGGAGGTTCTTAGAGGTTACTGAGTTCCATCTGCTGGTGAGGAACCTGAGGCCAGGTGTGGAAGGGACTGGCTGAGGACTGCTCCAGCGTTCCATGCTGTCTCCCCTAACTGCCAGAGTGTGGCAGCTGGTGCTTTCACTCCTATCCTTATCTGCCTCACTACTCTCTGCATCTGCCTTCTAACACTAAAACTCTGTCTTCTGTCGTTGGTACTTCTGTGCAAGGTAGTGTTTATACCCAATGCACATACATCGAACCAACTACTTTTAGATACACAGACATCTCTTGTAAGCAGATGTTCAAATTCATACATGTTCTCACCTGCCTCTCTGCCCCTTTGATCCCTTGCATATACACATCCACTCGAGACTTTTCCACTCTTGGTGGCTCCTGTCACAGAACAATCCGTGCCAGATAGCTCCTTCCCCCAAACCTTTCTCCCACCTGGTACCACAAGTCAGCAAACCTCTGGGGGCAGGTAAGTGATGAGCCCCACACACTTGTCCCTAGGAACAGTTATGTACATGCCTAGCCCAGGACTTCAGATTTGGTTGATGTACTCAGCCCTCAGTTTTGTGCTGTGTTCAGTATGTTAAATCCCAGCAAGGTCATGACCCTTCCTTGCTGGTCCCTGGCCTTCATTCCCATTGCAGTTTGAGAATAACTGTAAATTCTGGCCTTTTGTTTTGGGGGGGTTTTTCTTTTTGTTGTTGTTGTTTTGTCTTTTTGAGGCAGGGCCTTGTTATGCAGTTCAGTCTGGCCTTGCGCACACTTTGTAGCCCAGGCTGGCCTGGAACTCACAACAATCCTCCTGCCTCAGCCTCCCAAGTGTTGTTTTCTTTTTAACACTTATTTTTATTTGTACATGTCTGCAGGACATAATTACATTTCTCTGGAAGAGCTGGTACATGGATATAACATCTTAATTCCTTTTATGTTCCCATCCCCTCTCTCCATCTCTTGGTCCCCTTCCCATTTGCAAAAAGTTCTGGCCTTAAAGCGTGCTTTTTATGTACAGTTTTTTATTAGTATATGTTTGCAGTATGTGATAATTACCATATTTCCCCCAAAATAAGACCAGGGCTTATTCATTTTTCCTCCAAAAGACACAGTAGGGCTTACTTTCAGGGGATATCTTACTTTTTGTGTATGGCAATCTGTATTTGTTCACGTGCAACAGTTTACACTTATTCATGTATAAAAATCTACTTTCAAATACAGTCATGTCATCTTTCTACATTCAAATACATTGTTGTAACTCTCCAAACCACAGATTCCAACCTGAATTTCTTGCAACTTCACTTCTTTAGAACTATTGGTCCAATCTCTTATGTTCAGCAACTGAGCTCTCCTTAAAAGAGTACTGCTTGTCCACGTAGCCTGCTCATAGTCCTTGGGCAACACAGTTGTCAGTGATTTTTATCCCATGAGTTCTTCACCCAAGTAATGACCTCCTGCGGGCCGGGCATCTCAAAGTTTCCATTAAATCAAGTGTTAACTGAAGACTTACAAGACAGGAGTGGCAACAAAAACGATGACAGTTAAGAATGATGGGCCACACAAAAGCAATGAAAAATTGCAGGCACCAAAATTGAGAAAACGTTTATTTCACACAAGTGCACTAAGTATGTCTGTTAACAACACACAATGTATTAAATTACAAAGATTCATATTAGACAAAATCATGTCTGTTATCAGGTACGCACAGTTATTTGTGTGTTGTATCTACTCCAATTGGTCATTCAGCAGTGTCTCGAGTTCATCCATTTAGCTAGGCATTTATCTCTCATCCAAAGGCATCTGCTTATTAATGGAAATATTTATATTTAATTATAAATTAATATTATTTTATAATGCATTACATCCATCATGTTTTGCAACAGATATACTAAATGCATCTGCCTGGCTGATCTTTTTCAAGACAAGATCTCACTATGTAGTTCAGGTTGGCCTTGAAGTCACTATGTAGCCCAAGCTGGCCTCCAACTCATAATGATCCTCTTGTGTCAGCCTCCCAAGTGCTAGGATTGCAGGTGTGCACCACCAAGCCTGGCCTGGCTAGTGGTCTTAACTGGGGCTTGTGGGGTGGGCGGGGCTTATAGTACAAGCGTCTTGAAAAATCATGCTAGGGCTTATTTTCCAGTTGGGTCTTATTTTCAGGGAAATAGAGCACATTTGTTGTGGGGAATTGGTACATGTACATAACACATCACAATTCTTTTTTCTTCCTCTCCTCTTTCTCCCTTTCCATCCCCTTCTCATTTGAAAAAGATCTTTCTCCCTACTTCTTAGTATCTTTTATTTTGCTGTTTATGTATTTTGGGTTTCTCATCACAGAAACCATGTGATGTTTAAGCTTGTGTGTCTAATTTATTTCACTTAACATTTTGGTCTCACGGTGCATCCATTTTCCTACAAGTGACTCAAGTTTATGCTTTATGGCAGAGTAGTACACCACTACATATAAATACCACATGTTTTGTATCCTCTTATCTGTTGATGAATATATAGGCTTCCAACATGTAACAGTTATGAATTTGCTGCTATAAGCATGGGTCTGCATGTGTCACTGTAATATGACATCTTTAGCTCTTTCAGGAAGATACACAGAAGGAATAGCTGGGTCTAGTGGAATTTCTAGTTTTATTTTTCTGAGGAATCTCCGTACTGATTTCCATAGTGGTTGTATCTTACAGTCCCACCAATCATGTACAAAGATTCCTTTTTGCCTGCAGTAGCCTCGAGAACATTTGTTGTTATTTGATTTCTTGATAATAGTTAAGACATGTTCTTATCCCATCTACCTGGGACCCAGTCTTCAGACTGGATTTATAACTTTAAGGAATGAAGCAACCCTAATCTCTAAAATGAACAAAAGACTAGAAATACTCTGATTTTTTTCAGTACTAGACATTGAACCCAGTGTCTTCACACTAAACTACATCCTCAGCCCTTTTTTATTTTTTTTAATTTTGAAACAGAGTCTCATTAAGTTATTAAATTGCCTAGGCTGGGCTCAAACTTGTGATCTTCCTGTCCAGCCTTCCCAAGGGTTGGGATTATACGTATGTGCCACACTTGTTTTAAAATGGAACTTTTTTTTCTTGTCCCCCCACCTTGTTTTTTCACAACAGTGGCTCACTATGTAGCACCGGCTAGCCTGGAATTTGCAGGGATCCTCAGCTTCCTGAGTGCTGGGATTATAGGCATGCGCCATTACAGCTGGCAGCAATTTTGGTTTTTTTTTTTTTTGAGACAGGATCTCGCTGTATAGTTCAGGCTGGCCTTCAATTCACTAGATAGCCCAGGTGGCCTGGAACTTGTGATCTTGCCTCAGCCTCCTGAGTGCTGGGATTACAGGCATATGCCACCATGCCCAGCAGTTTTCAGCAATTCTGGAAAGCTTATGGATAGGGAAAACTGTTAATGAAGACAAGGGCAGTTTATTCTAGGAACACGGCCTGTGTATTTCCTGGACTTGTCAGAACAGCTGGCCCTTAAAGCCCATTCACTTTCACCACAACTCTGCCTTTGTGACCTTGCTCCCTTCACCAGAATTCTCTGTGCCTGAATGAATAAAAGACCCTGTTCCTTTATTTTTCTGCAGATGCTGCATAGTAAGAACTGGACTAGCTGGGCATAGTAGCGCTTGAGGCAGGAAGATCACGAATTTAAAGCCAGCCTGGACTGTATAACAAGACCCTCTCCCAAAAAATAAGAGCAGGCCTGCTTCTGTATCTCGTTCTTCTTTCTGAACTCGTGTCTCAGAGTCACATGCCTTCTCTGCAACCTGCCCCCTTGAGAGGTCCCATGAGCTTGTAGACATGTCCTGTGAAATCATTCCTCCCTCTACCTCATGTCAAGATACCTGTGAATTGGGCCTTCTGGGAGGTCTGAGCTGGGGGTAATTAACTCATTTCTGTGATCTTGGGCTCCATCCTCCCTTCCCCATCCACTCTGTTAACTCTTCACCAGCGTTTCGCTTTTTGGAACCTCTCAGAAAGTACTAAGTAACGTTCCGTCTCAGTGTACATGTCTCATTTTGTAGGGAATGACTGAAATAAGCAGCTTTTGGCCTGGTTCAATTGGACTTTGTATCTCTGCCATTGTGTTTCCTGTATCCTGGGTCAAAGGCCAGAAGGATCCCCTCACACTATCTTCAGTGATCGCTAATAGCAGTACTACCTAGCTTTGGTTGATGCTGTTCCTTTTCTCTCATTGCTACAGAGTCGGGGGCTGCTGTCTGTGAATTCTTTTTGAAAGCTGCCTGTGGCAAAGGTAAGAGACCTGGCTTGTTGACTTGCCTCCTAAGGTGCCATTTGGCCACCCAGCCCCCCTAGCAGACATGTAGGCCACCAGGCTAACAGTGCATACAGACGAGGTGTAGTTTGGATAGGCTAGGAGCCTGGTGGGTGTTCTGCCCAAAACTTACCCAAGGCTGAGCATGGCCCAGAGGCTGCTCTCTCACCTCACTTCTCCATCTGACATGCACGAAGGCCTGGGCATCGAGGTTTTCGATAAATACCTCAGGGTCCTAAAGTTACTGTGTGGCTGAGCCCAGTGTCTGAATATAGGACTGTCTGATTCCAGTCTGCACCGGCTCACTGTTTTCTGGCTTCTTAGGAGGCGACCTGCAGTAACCTTTGTGTGGGGTCCTAGTTACACTTACTAGGCCCCCTCAGAGGCTGCATGAACCAGACTATATCTGTTTACTCGTAAGTATTGCTAGGCAGGACCTTACATGGTATGTACAAGTCTGGTTCTCCCTACAGGGAAATTTATTCAGGAAACTAAATCTTAATCAGAAACTTGAATGGGGAATGTAGAACTAGATCAACGGGATAGTTTAAATGGATGATTTGAGTGAGTTCTGGGTTTATAACAGTCATTTGCCACTGAAGCAATAGACCTTTCAGCGTAACCTCACACTGCCTGGTCAAGAGGTCATCCCCGACACTGCTCCTGTTCTCATTCTCGATGTGCTTGCTCAGGTATTCTGCCTGCTGGCCAGCCACTGTTTGCCAACACAACCACCCTTAATAGAGCACTGCAGCTCCTCGCTAGTACAATAGCCACCGTGTGCCTATTCAAATTTGAATGTAACATATGGAAAATGTAGCTTCTCTGTCACATGTGATGATTCAAGAACTCAGTAGCCACAAGTGGCTCGTGGTTGCTGTGTTAGCCAGCAGGGGTGTAGAACTTTGTCTTCCATCGCCACAGAAAGTTCTGGACGGAGCTGGTGCAGATCTTTCCTAGTTACAGCTGACTATTCTAATTGGCCCTTCTCAATGGTCCTGCCAGCCTACCAGTTATAAGTCTGGTATTCCCAGAGGATAGCTCTGTCCCATCTGCGTGGGACAGGTCCTGCTACAAAAAGATACCCCTCCCCTTTTACAACTATTGCCTTTCTTCAACCCTGAGGTGGATCTTTTTGGGATCTTGAGGCTATGCGGTTACTTCTAACAGGAGACAGAGCCTGCCTGGAGTCCAGGCTTCTCCTGATGATCTTCCTTATCCTTTAAAGTTTGCTAAACCTCTTTGTTTTAGTATCCCTCTTTCTTTTACAATTTTTCCATGTCTGTGTACCAGTGGAACTGTTAATAAGGACTAAATGAACCCACCCCATCCCACTGTAGTCTTGTTATTCCCCCACCTTACAATATCTACGAAATCCTGATCTAATATTAGTTATATTTTTCCAAACCGCCTTAAACTAAAACACAGCTACCAAAGTTTAGAATGTTTGCCAGTATACTTCCTAAAACCAGGCTGCCTTCCCCAGGGGCACCTGCACCACCTTCCAGAATGTGTTGCTTTCAGGAAAGTATGGAGTAAAGGCGCCTCGGCTCCCGAGCCCACATTTCTCCTCACGTTCTGGCCTCTCTCCCTCGGCAGGAGGCATGTGTCCATTCCGCCATATCAGCGGTGAGAAGACAGTTGTGTGCAAACACTGGCTGCGGGGGCTGTGCAAGAAAGGCGACCAGTGTGAGTTCTTGCACGAGTATGACATGACCAAGATGCCTGAGTGCTACTTCTACTCCAAGTTTGGTAAGGCATACAGGACCCTGGGAGGCTCTGCCAGGTTCTCAAACCAAGACCCAATGTGTCTGCCTTCTCCCATCTTTCCAGCTTCTAGGCAGTCCCTGCCAGCCTGAGTGGGCTGTTCAGTGAGGGGCTGACATGGCGATTCTCTGATAGTCCCTCATGTCTTTGGAACGCTCTAGGGTTTGGAGCACTTTGGGATAGTGAGAATAAGAGGAATCCTGGTGAACAAGCTGACAGTGCAGAGAGCTGAAGATCTGGTTTCTACTCACAGCAGCTCTATCCCTGAAATGCACATCTTCCAGCATGTCACTGATCACCCCTGCCTGGGCCTAAATTGGTTCCTTCTCTCTAGAAGCAGGATTCTGGGTGATACTTTGGCCCTTCTGACAACCCTCAGAATAGCGGGTCTGGGAGGGCTGTCTTCCGGTAGCCGTGAGCCCTGCTCTTTATCTCAAAGATTGCTTTGAGCTGTGCTTAGGAATGTGGCCTGCATGGAGAAGCAGGGGACAGGGTGAAGGCAGTGGTGCTGGCACAGAGCTTTGTGGCCAGGCTCTCTGTTCTGTCTGTTCTTGGAGGTGTCCCAGGAAGAAGTTCTTCTTGGTCAGTTCAAGGCCTGACTCTGGCCCCAGAGCTGCCAGCCCCAGGCTCTGCCCAGGGGCCATGCAAGAGGTCAGAGCCTGTCAGAGGCTTTGTGGAGAGCTGCGGAGTGCTGGGCATGCTTCATGCTTTAAAACACTGTTGATGGAGGAGATACTAATTATTTCAGCATCCCAGCAGGCTTGACTGCTTGGTTCTTAATGATAGTTGTGGCTTGTTTTGCTGAGGGATCATAAGCTGAGAAGTCAAAGCAGACAGCAGGACTCAGGGTTCCCAGCTCCGTCCCACCTGAGGTCATCCTGTCTGCACATCAGTAGCCCCCTCTCCACTTTTGCCCATAGCAACACCAATGGAGCAGGGTCTCCCATTTAGCCCCAGAGCTGTGCCTTAGGGTTCCCTCCTTTCTGACAGCCCTGGGCCCAGCAACCCCCTGTATCTCTGATGTCCCGTCTGTCAGTTCCCTGCAGAGCCCGACTTCATGCAGATGTGCCAGCTGCAGCTCCTGTCAGGATCCACAGCTGTGTGTTGAGTCTCCTCTTTCAGAGGGACGGTGGTGAAGAGGACAGACTTGTCCTTGCTGTAGTGACCTAGGGATGGGGCAGCTGATAAGCCAGTGATGTAAAGAAGAAAAGTGCCACGAAGGAAATAAACAGTGGTGAGACCCATGCTGCATTCTCCTTCAGGCAGAGTGACCTGGGAGGGCCTCTTGAGAGGAGTCCAAGTCAGGGCCTAAGAAGGGCCTGGTGCCAACTAAGGGTTCGTCTCGGACAGTGGTGGGGCCAGTGTGGCTGCAGTAGGGGGAGCTGAGCCTGTGGAAGGGGTGTAGGCAGGAGGGCACAGGCTGGAGTGTGTTTCCTCCAGATAGTGAACAGGGTACGTTAAGGTAGACTGCCGAGGGCCAGCCTGATGGTGGCAGGTAGTCACGCCGGGAGGTGTGTCCTAAAGCTGATGGCCACCTGGGCTGCTCACTTCTGAACCATCCCCGTCCACGTATGTTGTCATCACCAGGGCTTAACCCGTAATACCCCGTGGACCCTGCCTTTAGATCCCAGTGGTTGTCCTAAAAGTCAGAGGTCTCAAACCTTTCCCTGTCCCAGCTCAAAGAGTCAATGAGAAGAGGAAAGTCATGTCCTACCCTCAAGGGCACATTTACTTATCCGGGCCACCCCATGCCCATGATGCCCCATCTGCCTGGGTAAGGGTGAGACAGTGGGTTTAGATGAGAGTTTGCCTTGGCCCAGGCTTTGCTGGTGTTACTATCCCTTCCAGAAGCACTGGTGTATGTGAGACCTACATAGCCCTACTAACATCCTGCCTTGGGCTCAGGGCTTGCTGGGCCAAGTCCGGACAACAGAACCTCCTGGCCCCTTTTTGGCTTGGGAAAGCTCTATTCCAGGAGGCTACATGTCTGGGTTTCCTGCAGGGGAATGCAGCAACAAGGAGTGTCCCTTCCTGCACATTGACCCGGAGTCCAAGATCAAGGATTGCCCTTGGTATGACCGTGGCTTCTGCAAGCATGGTAGGTACAGGATGGGCTGGGCCTCAGGGAGGGGTCAGCCTTCCCTCTGTCCACATGACCCTCAAGACTGCCAGCTGGTCCTCCTGGGACATCACTGTGCCTGTCCCCGCAAAACCTGAGCTTTTTTATATCTCTCCCAAGCAGGCCTTGTGGGGGATATGCTCATCTCCTTTTTTTCCCCTGGTACTGGGGATTGAGCTCACATACTATGCTAGTTAAATGTTCACCACCAAGGTACATCCCCAGCATTTTTTTTGAGACATAACCTCACTAAGTTGCCCAGGCTGGCCTCAAACTCTCAACCCATCTGCCTCAGACCTCCCGGTAGCTGGGATTATAGGTGTGTGCCAACCACCCTGGCTCACCTGCATTTTGGGTAAGGAGACCAATGTGGAGAGGCTGAATCCCTGCCTCCAGTTCCCTCTGTTTGAGGCAGAGCCAGCCTATGAAGCCATCCTCTGGCTTTCAGCACCCCAGGCAGTGTAGCTATGACTCTGGCTGGTAGTGGGGACACTAATAAAGCATTCCCCTGCAGAGGGGACATCTGAGTGACCCACACACTGGGCTCTGCAGGTCCTCTGTGTAGGCACCGGCACACGCGGAGAGTCATCTGTGTGAATTACCTCGTGGGATTCTGCCCAGAGGGCCCCTCATGTAAATTCATGCAGTGAGTACCCTGCCTATAACTCCTGGCCCCAGCCCTACTGCTGCTGTGTCCTTCCTGGGAGCAGGGCTTTGGTCACCGGGTGGTATCAGTACTAGGGCCTAGGGAGGGATGGGAAGTGGGGGAGGAACTGCTGCTGATGGCTGCTGCTGCTTCCTGAGCCCAAAGGCAGCTCTGTCGAGACCAGCATTTAATCTTTATGGGTCGTGGGCCATCTGGGGATCTGAAAACTTCTTTCAGAAACACGCATGTCTGTACCTTTTCTTGGAGCAGCACTTGCCGAAGGTCTCCCAGAAGCATCGCTGAGTGCCAGCCCTACCCTGTGTCCATGTGGTTTGGGTCACTTTTGCTTGTATGAGGGCTGGTTGTGGCTTTCTAAGCACCACCTGGCCTATCTTCTCATGCCCTCTTCTTCCCTTGCTCACTTCCTCCCTGGCTGTTGGTGACCAGCCCCCGATTTGAACTGCCCATGGGAACCACTGAGCAGCCCCCACTGCCGCAGCAGACGCAGCCTCCTTCAAAGGTACCGTGCCCTGACCCCTCCTTGGCCACGCAGCCCCAAAGAGAGAACCTCAGTGTGCAGTCTGCTGTAGACCCAATGGGGAATCTTGTGAGAGGAGGTGAAGGGAGGAGGCAGGAGAGAGGGACAGGAAGTGCCCTCAGGTTCTAGCAGAAAACTCAGGGAGCACAGGAGTGTGCACATCCCACTAGAGACAGAGGGCATCCGCCCAACCGGAATTCCCACTTGGCCTCCTCCCTTTTTACATCAGGCACAGAACCTCAGCACAGCGAGGCCTAGAGCAGGATGGCAGGCAGGGCTCAGCGGGTACGTGTCACTGAGCTACACTGGGAGGTGCCACCATGGCGCAGCAGTGTCTGCCTCAGGAGCTGCTCTGCGTGGCCTGGCTGGTGTCTGCCGCTTTTGCTTCTGGGTCAGACCCTGCCCCTTACAAACAGGGAGACTGAGACTCCTAGAGGGAGGAACTTCCGAAGGAAACACCACTAGGCAGTGGCAGATGAAGGAACAGGACTGAGGCCAAGTGTCTTCAGGCTCGCGCCATTGCTACTCCTATGGCAAGACCAGGACTGAAGGACTAGCTGGCTGTAGTTTTCTAGGTGGCCCTGTGATGCAGTTGGTCCATCTCCTTAAGCACCGGAAGAGGGAAATACATACCATAGACAAGTCGGGATCTTCTGCCACCCCCAAAACCAAAGACCCCCTGGGTCTGGGTACAGGAGTAGAGTCGGGCAGAGGAGGGCTGGCCTGGGGTTAGGTGGGCCCTCGACAGGTCCACTGACCTTGAAGCCTCACCTTTTATCTGGCTGGGCTCTGAGTCAGTTGCCAAAGGCTCTCCCAGCCCTCTTCATTGCTGTAGGCTGAGAGTACGTGGTTGTGCTGACTCTCCATAGACCGCCCCACCCTCAGGAGGTGGAAGTGCCAAGAAACCACCTTCTTCCTGGGGAAAGTCAGAATTCCCAGGCATGGGTACAGCTGACAGCCTGGGGGTTCGTTCCTAGCTCAGACCTTATCGGGCAAGAGCCAACAACTCACCTGGTTGAGAAGTGGCCTTGCTGTGGAGTCCCTGCCCCAGAAACCCCAGCCCTCTCTTTCTTACGAGACTCGCTGGAGGAGGGCCCTCAGCCCCTAGACTGCAGGTCAGCATGCCAGGCTCCAACTGTTTTTCTGTGACTGTTGCTCGCCGTGTAGGCTGCTAAACATCTGGCTGAACCAAGCGTTCATCCTGACCTGAAGCTAGAACCTCAGAACCAAAAGTAAGGCCTGATCATGCCCTTGCCCCACTGCCCCAGAGACCTCCTCTTGTCTCTTTGGTGTTTTGTTTCTTTTATTTTTCGTTTTTGTGTGTTTGCATGGTGTTTTTCGGGCAGCGGCTCCTGCCATCATCACCAGAAGTTTCTTTTCTGCCCACTCTCCTGAGCTGGGCCATCATGGAAGTCCTCTTCCTGCTGGTCATGCGGGAACAATCCCGCCCTCTTTTTTTCCTGTCCCCATTGGTAGTCTGCGTGCACGTGTTTTCCACAGTAAAACCGTGTTGTGTAACTCTTTCCAGCAAAGTAACAATCCGCCATTACAAAGGTCGTCCTCCTTGATCCAGTTAACGAGTCAGAACTCTTCTCCCAATCAGCAGAGAGCCCCACAGGTCATCGGGGTCATGCAGAGTCAAAACAGCAGTGCAGGCAACCGAGGACCCCGGCCCCTGGAGCAGGTCACTTGTTACAAGGTAAGTCCTGGGGCTTGGGGACAGGGTGGGGGTCTTCTCTTTAATCAGTGGCCATTCCCTCATTCCCCATTTGTGTGGTTAATTTTGAAAAATTAGCAAGGCATGGTGGTGCACATTTGTAATCCCAGCACTCTGGGAGGCTGAGGCAGGAGAGTCACAAGTTGGAGCTCAGCCTGGGCAGCTTAGACCTTATCTCAAAATGAAAAATAAGAAAGGATAGGTATGTAGTTCAGTGTGAAGACTTTGGTTTCAATCTCAAAAAAAAGAACAAAAAAAGAAAAGGAAAAATTAAAACATTTTGGTTTACTGATTGTAAGAGAAATGGTGGGCTACTATGGTGTGTGAGAGACCATACCATAATACTTCCTGCAGTATTTGCAGCAAGGCAAAGTGAAAGGCAGAAAAAAACACACTGCTGAATGAGTGGATTGTGCTTGCAAGAAAGAGAAAAGCTGGGCATGGTGGTGCACATTTACAATCTCAGCTACTTGAAAGGCTGAGGCAAAGAGATCCTTAAATTAAAATCCACCCTGGGCAATCTAACAAGACTTTGTCTCAAAAAAAAAAAGCAGGATGTGGTGGCACACGACTGTAATCCCAGCACTTGGGAAGCTGAGGCAAGAGGATTGCCGTGAGTTTCAGGCCAGCCTGGACTACATTGCAAAACTCTTGTCTTAAAAACAAAAAACAAAACCCAAAATATAAAAAAATAAAAGAGCTGGGGATATACAAAGGCCCTGGTTCAGTCTCCAGTACCACCAAAATAAAACACAGAATGTGAGGGAAATCACAAACTAGGAACAAGATGGAAACATATCCAAGGAAGAGTGATCCTGGAAGCCTCTGGCTGCCCTGGAGACATTCTCAGTTCCTACATGGGTACCTCAAAGGTTTAAGCCCACACTTGGAGGAATTTGATTAGGAACACACACACACAAAATCCACACATAAAATGGGATACTCAGGGAAAGGGTGGACTTTCCAGAAGAGCTGTCTTTTTCATCCTTGTCTTGGTAGAAATGAAGAAAAAGTCCCTACAGAATCTCATTACTGGCTGGCCCTTATGTAAGTCTGGGCCTGTGTTCATATCTTTGGTGAGAGCTGAAAAGTTATAAACCAAATATTGTACTCAGTGATTATCCTTGGACGAGGGTCCCTCAGGTACTTGGCAGGAACAATCTCACCTGCTGTATTCAGAATTCCTACAGCTAGAATTCCAAAAAATGACTTCATGATTAAAATCTCAAACAAGCTGGGTGTAGTGGTGCACACTTGTAATCCCAGCACTCGGGAGGCTGAGGCAGAAGGATCACCATTGAGTTTGAGGCCTGCCTGAGCTATGTAGTGAGTTCAAGGACAGTCTGAACTACATAGCAAGACCATGACTCAAAAAAAAAAATCATAAATAAATACAAACAGGCAAGGAAACACACCAGTGAGTCAGCCAAAATAGCCAGCAATAGAACTAGAATCACAAAGACTATGAATCAAGAAATTTGAGAAAATAGATTAGTACATGATTTTTATAAAATTTTTAGACTGCATAAAAGCATTTAGGAAACATTGAGAACACTGTCTCTCCTTGTCCTTCCCAAAGAGAGCCACTGCGTTCAGCATGTTGTTTCCATACTTGGTTGCAGGTCTCCTTTTACTTACAAACCCCACTAGGGAACCCTCAGGCCACATTTGGGGAACTGCTGTTCTAAACTTTTATTCACACAGCCCCAGATGTTTCTTAGTATCAGTGGAGCCCTAATCCAATCATAGCTTTTTAAAAAATTTGCAGTATCTTGGGTTCTTTCCATGACAGTACATAGAAATCCAATCTTTTTCAGTGGCTACACAACCCATATGGGTTTTGCTCCAAATAATAGTGCTGAGTCTGAGTCTAACCCTTGGGCATTTGTTGGCTCTGCTCTGATGTCACTGGCCTACAAGAGGCAGTTCTGAGTCAAAGGACATACTTTAAATGTTCACAGTTTGCCCTCAAGAAAGGGTAGGACCCTGCTGGTAGTGGTGGTGCACACCTGTAATCTCAGCACCCGGAGGCTGAGGCAGGATAATTAGAACTATCTAAAGGAAAAAAAGAAAAAGAAAAAAAGAGCGTGATCCCCAGGTATTGTCCCAGCAGCCAGCATTCCTAGTTCCTGCCGTGCCCCGGTTTGCATTCTTAGTGGGAAGGACCTAGGCAGGTGCCTGAAGACACTCAAAGGCAAAGTACGCGTGGAAATACCACACTGGGGAGATTTTGGAGCCTGAGCCCTAAACAGCAAGAATAATTTGGGAAGCTACCCGGTGGAGAAGGCAAAGTAGAAGGGAGAGATGTCCCTTGCAGAGCAGATTACCTTGTTACTTCTCAAGGACAGCAAAGAATCTTTGGTAATCTAAGGCAGGTTAGCTATCCCCTTGGCCCAGCTCAGAACTATTCACCAGGGTCTCCTCTGTGAAGCAAGATCTCTTAAGTCCTGAGACCTCAGAAAAATGGGCCAGGGACTGGGGCGCTGGACATCCTCTTACACAGGTATGTCATGCTGTTATTATTAAAGACACCAAGATTCCCGACCAGTTATGAAGACAAATGTGTGAAGTGTTCAAGCAGGGCCTTGAAGATCTGCTCCTGGTCATCACATTGTATCTAACTGGGCCATCATCCACACAAAAGTCACTTACAGGTCAAACAGATGTGGAAGAATCTGTGGGGTGAGGAGAACAGAACAGAGTACTAAGTGAGGGTAGTAGACAGTGCCAAAAAAGTAGAGACTTTAGGTTCAGGGGCCTAGAGGTACTGATTAGTGCAGAGTAGCTGCCCTCAGCTGCCTCCCAACCCTTTGTTCCCTGCTTGAGGCTGTTCACATCCTTCCCTGTAATCCCCTTGTGTTTTGAGGAGTCATGAGAATGGCAATACGATGAAAGGGCCTGGATAATGATAGCCAGGATAAGTCAGAGTCAGTGCTAAATCTGTCAGAGCGACACTACCAGCTCCACTCACCCCAGTCTAACCATTTCCTGTCTGATTGAAGCCTGTCCCTAAGGGTAGCTTAGGTGTGCAACAGCCAGAGGGAAGAGCTTTGGGCCTCACTGTCCACAGCAGTGGCTCCCCATTTAGAGGAGGTGTCTGGTTGCTTGTGTTGCACTGTTTCCTTCCATCTCCTCAGGGAGCCCCAGATCTTGACTCAGAGGTAAGTGACTGGCCTGCTATGTACAGGGGCTTGGTCTTCATCCCACCACCCACTTGTGAGCGTCCCCTGTGGGAAGGCCCAGGTCCAGTGCAAGTGAGGAACGGGTTGAAAGAGCTCCCTGCTGAGCTATCAGATTGTTCTCTGGTGGCCTCACTCTCCTTTCTACCGCATTTCTTCACCACCTTCTGGATCTCCTGCTGGTGTCCGAGAAGAAATCTGCATTGCAGAAAATATGAGTCTTCTCCGGTCTTTTTTTTGTTGTGGGTGATTGAAAATTGCACTTGAAAACGGTGTTGTATTTTTGTCTCTCCTTTCCCTCCCGCTGTTCCTAGTGTGGTGAAAAAGGACACTACGCCAACAGATGCACCAAAGGGCACTTGGCCTTTCTCAGTGGACAGTGACAGCAGCTGGAGCCAGCTCAGAGCAGCCCATGGGACCCTGTTGTTGGGAGTGTGCGCTTAACTGCTGAATGTAGCGTTGGTTCAACTCCGACCAGAGCCAGCAGGCACACTCACTGGGGCTCACTGTTCTGAGGGGCCACATCTGTTAGTTTCCTATTATTTTGCTTTTTTTTTTTTTTTTTTTCCTTACAAAGGGACCTGTGCTTCAGTTGGGTCTCCCAAGTTGACATCATGTTTGTCTAGGCATCAGTGCCTCTTTTCTGAGACTTCCTGCACACCCACCCTAGGGGAGGGAGTAGCTGGGGAGGGGCTTGTGCTCTGAGAAGCCGTGTGTGGAAGATGGCCTTTTTCTAGGAGGCCTCACAGAACACCAGTTTTGGTGAGCCCCAGGACCGGTGGATCATTCAGAGCTGTGGCCGGGTCATGCCTGCTTCCTCCATGTCCTGCTGAATCCTGAAGCTGTGCCTATCAAAGTAATTTGAACCAAGGGAGCCATTCCTGCAAACCCAGTACACTCACTGCCTTAGTCTGGCCCTGGGCCCAGGCAACAGCAGCTGAGAGCGATGCAGGCCCTCCAGTTTGAGGTTCTTTTTTTCTCCTGGGTGTATTTTCTCGTGGGGTACCTGCTTGACAGTATTTAAGGTATACCTTCAACCAGAGCTGCAGACCACCCTTTAAACAGCTGCCCCAGTCCATCTGCGCCTACCTCCTGCTGATCAAGCATCTATACTGTCACTCAGACACCTGTGGCATACAGAGGAGACCGCCCTGTCCTTGAGCCTGGAAAATGTGAAACCATCACCTGCAACCTGCTGGGCAAGTGGGCCTATCCAAGTTCAATTATAAGAACAATTTTTACAGAGTTGATTAAAGCTTGTTTTTTAAGCTGTGTCTCATTATTTAGAGATTCCTTAAGGAAGAAAGATCTGCCAGGTTACACTAGCTGCCTGGCATAAAGCTATGATGTTAACCACTTACCAGTCCGATTATCTGTTTTGGCTTTTTTGAGACAAGGGTCTTGCTATGTTATGTAGTTCAGGCTAGCATTGAGCTATGTAGCCAAGACTGGCCTGTCTCAGCCTCCCTGGGATTACAGTGTGTGCCACCACATCTAGCAGTCCAATTATTTAAATACAGGATAACCAAAAATTGCATGTTTTTTAATTTCTATAAAACAGGAAATATAAAATGACAATTTTACCAAATTTATTCAACGCAATAATCAACTACATCCCTGGTTGGGCCAGGCATATAGTTCCATAGCACAGTGCATGCCTGGCAAGTGAAAGGTCCTGAGTTTGATTCCTGGTACAAAAACAAAAAGAATCAACTGGTTGCAGTGACACCTGCCTGAGTGACACAAAAGTTAGCACATAAACAAATGCATTCCCCGAGTGACGCATGATACTCGGGATAAACTGATAGATGGTTAATACTCATCCCTTGCAACAAATATGAATCTCAAAAAACAGAAGTGATGCTGGTGATCGCCTCTCAGCCTTTTGGCTAAGATCAGTGTAGAAGTGATGCTGGCGAGACACACCTTTGTACTGGCAGCTGGAGTTCTTCCCTTCGTGTCAGATGTTTGGGTAACACCTGTTTGTCCAAACTTAGCTCTTCTAGGTGATCTTGGGCACAGCACTGCCCCACTGCCTTTCCCCTCCCTTGGGCTCCATGTGGTTTACATACTCACTGTTCACCCCTCAGCAGGAGCTGGTGCTGGCCTTCATACCACCTGATACCCTCTGAAAACCTCTGATGGGTCAGGAAGAGGGAGTTATGAGTACTGGAGCTTGGTGAGCTGGTATCAGACTTGTGCCTTTCCCTCAGCCATACTATGCTATTCTTCCTACTAGTGAAGCTGTCTTACCAGGAGGATCCTACTACCTTCGGTGTCTCTAGATAGTTCTTGGCGACTTGCAGCTGATGCCCCAAGCTCATGCAGAAAAATGGGGGGAATAAAACATTGAGGTCATCAGAAATCCCCTACCTAGAGCTATAAGATGGTCAGCAGTGAGATCTGGCACTCAGGAACTTGGTTCTGCTGTATAGAGTCAGCTATCAAAAGGCCATGGTCCCTCCAAATGATCACAAAACTCACAGCAGGAGACAGGGCTCTGGGCAATGACAGAAACTCCAGAAGACTCTGCTACCTCATGAACTGGGACGTGATCCCAAGGGGTCAAGTGTGCAGAGCCCACCAAGGCTTCAGGAGCCAAACCATGGCCTGTCTGATAACTGTACACCCCTTAGTGCAGAGGGCGCCAGGACGGGCTACAACACGCAAGCAGCACTTGTACCAGTCACCTTTTATTGAGCATTCTCACTTAGGCTATGAACAAATGGAGCCATGATTAAGCTGTTCACAGACGGGCGCAGGATGAGGCAGTCACAGTCTAGAGTGCAGAGTGCCCTCCACACTGGCCCCTTTTCAGTGGTACTTGCGTCGCCGCTCATGTTCTAAAGTCAGAAAAAAACAGTAAGTTTCTTAAGTATTCTAGTGCAAGCACAAGGTGATAGCAACAGCATCAGGCTACAATCGTGAGTTCTTTCAAGCAATCAGCAAACCTGGGGGCACAAAAGTACCTCAGCAGAAGCCAACTTGCAACCTGGCCAGCCTCTTTGATACCCACTTAGATAAACAGCCTCCAAAAACCCATCCTTTAGAGACGAGCTGTGATACAACAGACTGGCAGGAACTGTGATCAGAAAGGGCCCACAAAACTCAGCCAGAGGCCACAGTGACAGCTGTAGCACTTCCCACCAGACATCACCTGAGACCATCCCTGGTCTTAGAGCCAGGAACAACTGCTCTCCCAGAGCACTGGAGAGGCACTGGATTATAACCACAAACCCTATATCCCTCATCACACTGCCTGCTAGGAAAATCAAGCCAACTTTTAGTTAAGAGCGTGCAGTATCTTACAAGTTGCTTCCCAAGTATGACCTCTACCCTAGTTTCATCTCGTTTTTCCTGTGTTCTCAATCACTAACTTCTTACTTAAAATACTGTCACATACATTTCATTCCTGCAGTGTCCTCCCGTTCTTCCAGGTGGACATACAGGTAAGGGCATCCTAAAGGTCCCTCAACTGACAAGACAGTTGAGCCAACACCACAATCTTAGGGGGACCTGGAGGCATGATAACTCATGAGCCACTCACTGAGTTCCTTGTAAGAAAGGCAGTAGTTGAAAAGCACGTAGGCTGCCAGCACCATGTTAATCCCGGCGATGCTCCCTTTCTTCACGTTGATGTACTTGTTGTAATACCGGTAGTAACCTGCAACAGAGGAGGCGCTCACTGCCCTGCTTTGCTGACTCCTGTAGTACACAAAGTAGTCTGGAATTCTATCAGTCCTGCTCTGGCTCTTCAACCCACTCTATATTCACTGGCTGATAAAGGTAGACAGTCCTGTAGGGTCCAATCCCCACAGCCCAAGACCAGCTCCAGAGTTAGGTCCTAGATTCTGCCTTTGGCCTTGAGCTTACAGATTTGGCTCAACTTATACCCCACTTTCAGCCCTGGAATTCTGACTAATTCTGTCCCAGATTCCAACCCCTAATAAGGGCCACTTGATGGTAGCCAGCTGGATCAGCCAGGCCCTTGGGGAAAAAGACTTCCCTCTGTTCATCTCTTTACCAAAAGAGAATCATGCTTTATAGTTGATGTAAATGAATGAAATGATTATGTAAGTTTAAAATAGGGATCCCAGGGGCTGGGGATTTAGCTCAGCGGCAAAAGCGCCTGCCTGGCAAGTGCAAGGTCGTGAGTTCGGTTCCCGGTACCGGAGAAAAACCAAAAAAATAAAAAAATTAAAAAAAAAAATAAAATAGGGATCCCTGGCTGGGCATGGTGGTACATGCCTGTAATTCCAGCACAAGAGAGACTGATGCAGGAGGATCACTGCGAATTTGAGGCCAGCCCGCCCTACACAGTAAGTTCAAGGCCAGCCTGAATTACAGAGAGAGGGCCTGTGTCAAAACCAAATAAAATAGGGATGCCCTGAAGAAGCTATGAACATGAACAGGCCAAATTCACTTCAGTTCACAGCTCTAATTAGATTGGGTACTCTGAAGGCCTTGCTTGAAAAAAACTTAGGGCAGGGCAACCCACACAAAAAAGGCACAGGGATGTCACAACTGGAAAAGGGGAGGCAAGCCCCTGAGGTAGTCCAAGATCATGCAGGGATCACCATGGGATGATCTGGGACTTTCTTCCTGGAGTGTGATAGTTTACACAGACTGATGTAACTAGTCATACACTTTTAAATGCACACATCTGTGCAAACTTGTCTTGGAAGTCCTGGCATAGGCTGATGTACACTATGATTCAAATTCATTCCCTCCACCTTCCCTTTTGAGACAGGGTCTCACTATATCGCTCAGACTGGCCTCTAACTCATAGGCTCAGTAATCCTCCTGCCTCAGCCTCCTATGTAGTTGGGACTACAGGCCTGCACTACTACATCTTTTTCCTCTCTTTTTGGGGGGGTAGGGTGAGGTAGGGGAGGTGCTGGGGATTGAATCTAGAGCCTTGTGCAGGCTAGGCAAAGCATTCTACCACTAAGCTACATCCCTAGCCCACTTACTTGCTTACTTCTTAAACAAGCTTTAGATGTGGAAATGCTTATAGACGTTTTTCTAAAATAGAAACAGACTGGCCAAGGATATAGCTCAGTAGCACAAGTGCCTGCCTGGCAAGCACGAGGTCTGGAGTTCAATTCCCAGTACCGAAAAAATTAAAATAAAATAGAAACAGAGGTACTGATTCCAAGCACCACGGCATTTTCTTGGCCGAAATATCTTACAGCCAGCCTTTGATAGGGCCAATCAAATATGAAAATTCAACAGCTGACAAACTTTTGCCCTTTTATGTAGAACTTACTAGTTTGAGACAAGAAGGCCTTTATTGCCCAAATTAACTCATGGCAAAGAGACCTGAAGACCCAGAAATTTGTTTTTGTTTTACACACATCCATAAGGCTCTGACCTCTCTGAAATGCTCCAGCAATGCCTGAAGGGGTGAAATCCCGCATCAATATCCAGCTGGGCAGCTCCCCTACTTTCACATCCAAGAGTTTCTTCTCTTTCAGTGGTACTGAAAAGGAAAAGCAAAACAAAACACACCTACTAAGTAGTCGCCTAATAATACAAATAGCATCTTTTTATGTCATTGATTTCAACTATTGAAAGGAAGTGCATGATGCTACACGTAAATACTATGAATAAACCCACTACGTCAAAAGCACTATTTTAACATTCAGCCTGTATAGTGGCAGAACTGCTGCAGGAACAGCTTTATGAAGCAACAGACAACAGGATGTCTGAACAGCTTGCCAATTATAACTAAACTTTAGGGACCATGGTGAAGACAGCAATAAAGTTCAGGACAAAATATTTTGCAGAACATTTACTTTATGTACATATTAGCTTAATCGCTAATTAATCGTACAATTAGCTTAATAGCTAATGTGACTGGTTCCTTTACCTTGGGGGAGGGGAGTAGGCAGACTCAAAGAGGTTGGGTATCTTGACCAAGGTCACACACACAGTATAGATGTAAGATGAAACCTTAAGATGGGACCCATCCTTTTGATGCTAATCTGAGGATGAGTCTGTCCAAACTCTGGGGATCTGTGGTCACAAAATGATAGGAGGAGATGTGGACCAAGACCAAGAACTGCCCTCATGCAGTTCTTTTTTGGGGGGGGGGTACCAGGAATCGAACTCAGGACCTTGTACTTGCCAGGCAGGCACTTACTCCTCTGAGCTATATCCCCGGCCCCCTCATGCAGTTCACTGGTTGGATGTGCTTGTTTATTGGAGAAGGGCTTTGCACTGCACCTGAGTCACCTGTGTCACTGCCACCCACCCCAGGTATGCCAGCCTCAGAACATCCAATAAAAAGAAAGTAAAGGAGAGCCAGGTGTAGCGGCACACAGCTATAATCCCAGCACTTAGGAAGCTGAGGCAGGAGATTCACCAAGAGTTCAAGGCCAGCCTGCACTACATAGTGAGACTCTCCCCGCCTGCCCCAATTTAAAAAAATAAATGTAAAAATTCCCACCTTATGCATCCTACCTGGGACAGCAGAGTTCAACAATTTCCAGAGACAGAAACAAAAGACAGCCTATCTCAAGAAGTCAAGTAACTTAGTAAAATCCTCTCCATATGGTATAACAGGGCCCAGGCCACATCCCAGTGAGAGTCTGGGGACAAAGCACAGGAAAGTCTCTTGGTTGAAGAAGTACCACATTCATCTTCGGGCCCAAGAAGCAAATAGGATACTAAGTAGGGGGTGGGTCTGTGGTTGTCCAGAAGATGCATATAAGAAGGAAATGGTCTTCCTCTATCCTTCCCATAAAGAACGATTTCTAAAAGCTTTTGGCAGATGTCCTCTTCAGGGCAAGGAGTCCAGGACCACTGTGTTCCTTCTTAAAGATGACTAACCACAGGAGCAGCCAGACTAAAGACTACATCACTCCAAGGTTTTTTTCTCCATTTGGGGATCCAAAGAAAGACTAAGGCTCCTTCTGGACCAGCCATAAGAGTCTGCTAAGAGGAATCCCACAGGTGCTGTGTCAGCTCCCAACACTGAACAAGAGCAGTAACTTTCAGGATGTAAACAGAAATGCAAGGCATTATAGCCAACTTCTGATCTGCTCTGGGTCATCTAAAGAGCCAGACCTGCAGCCTTAATGAGTGTCAAGACTACAGAGTACATGTCCAAAGGCCACAAGTGACAGGGGTATGCAGCAGTCTGTAAGTTATATGTAGGGCTAAAGGACACCATTAAAAGCCACCCCCAAACCTTCTATCTAGCCTCATCCAACCCATATGGAGCACCTACTATATGCCAGGCACCCTGCTTAGCGCTATGGATTCAGCGGTGACCAAATTATAATGTTCTTTTTGTAGAACAACCATCCTACTGTTCTTCCCAGGGTCACCGCATATTGGCCCAGCCCAGTGATGGCAAACCTTTTAGAGCATTCATCTCTAAACAGACAGCACTCTGCTGCACAACAGGTTTACTCCTACTGGCCTAGGCCCTTCGTTTCTCCAAGGCAACAACAGGATTATTCCCACCTGAGGGCCTTTGCGTTTGTGGTGCCCTTAGATCACATGGCCATCTCAAAGATCTTCTCCTCATAAGCCTCCTTTCCTGAAGGCCCTATCTCCAGTCAGCTTGAGCACTTTCTTCCTCTAAAACCTGAAAGCTCATTTCCTTAACAGTGAAATGGCTTATCCAGAGGATTAAATAAATATTGATGGGACCGGGGATATAGCTCAGCACACAGTGCCTGCCTGGTAAGTGTGAGGTCCTGAGTTTGATTCCCGGTACCCAAAAGAAAACAATTGACGAACAATGCCAGAACACTGCAAACTGTTATTATTGCTGAAATCTTACTAAGGTCTATCTATGTGAAACATCAGAAACAAAGGGGAGGTAGAACAATAGCATATAAACTGAATTTTAGGGACAATTTGAGTAGCCAGCCTTCAGGGATTAATTACTACCTTTAGCTCTCTTATAGACAGAAAACTCCTTCTCAGTTTCCTCCCTTATGAGGATAATACCTACCTTTGTACTTCAATGTATATACTATGTATATGAAACTATTATCTTTCTGCTTGATTATGAACTGACTATGGGAACAGCCCCACACAGTTCCTGACACCTGACACTAGACTAATGGTTGTTGAATAATCATAGGTTCTTGACAGGGTATGTGATTTTATGACTTGGAGAAATATACTATGCATTTCTTAAGGAGCTGCACAGAAATGACAAGTGTTTCCTTACTGGTAATTCCAACCCAGCAGTTGGCCAGAGTAAAAATTTTAGGTTTTTCATGCCACCTAAGATCTCTGTAACACAGTCTCTTTTCTTTAAAAAAAAAAAAGTATATATAAATATATAGAGAGATAGATATTTCCCCCCTTAGCTCATAGCCATACAAAAAGAGAACCCTGAATATCCAGCCTGCTGGCCCTAGTCTGCCAAACCCTGATATTATCCACTGCTGATGATTCCTGTGTCCCTCACTTTGTCTGATAATGAACTAGTGGATTTGTGCCTTGGCAACAGTACTTAAGACATAAAATCCAAGTACTAGGGTGACGCTCAAAAGCCCAGAGCATGTGACATGACCTTGGTGACTGGGTGACCACCTCACACCACCAAGCCCTCCACTGTGGGGCTGGGAGTGTACCATGTATCTTTCATGTACTAAATTTTTAAATCTTGAATCCAGAACTCTGTTCACTTCAACTCTCCTTAAATAAAATGCCAAGTCTCAATGCTCCCTGTTCACACTGTCCCCTTTAAACACAATCACTTCGGATCACGAATGGTCTCATGCCCATCTGACAGATAAGGTAACAGTTTCACTCTCCCCTTTTCTAATCTCTTCATTTTTCCAGGCCGAGATTAAGCATATAAAAACGGGTATAGTACACAGCAGTCAATCAAAACTCTGGGGGCTATGTGACCTCAAATAGGCCACACGACGTCTCAGACCGTTACTTTCTTCCTCTTTAAAAGGAATGATGTGGGTACTGAGGCGCTAGAGCTAAAACTCGGTTTCCTATTAAAAAACAAAAATCAAGAATGCACAATTTTTTAATGTAGAGATTTACATATACATGTTTCCGAAAAGCCTGCCAGTCATTTCTAATAAACCTCATTTATCATGAGGCTCCACATGCCTAGGTTTCAATCCCAGCTCAGCCCTCATAGTTGTGACCTTGAACAGGTCACTTCATCTTTGCAAGCCTACTCAGTACGTATGCACTGAGAATACGTATGCACCGAACCTAACGTGGTGCGGGGCACCGTCCCAGACATTAACTCCTCCTGGAGCTTAATTTCAGCTTTAGCTTTAGAAAGGATAGAAAGAAGCTGCCCATAGGGTTCAAGTGCAAATCGCCTGTGTCGCAGGGGAAAAGAAGCAGGTATTCCTTAACTGAGAGAGGGTCACTGCCCCAAGACAGAACAGTGCCACACCCGAAGGCGAGTCTCCAGGCTTCTCTCGCCCTCCATCCCGAACGTGGGTGGCGCAAGTCCTAAGCAGCGGGAAGCCAGGACCAGGAGAGCGCCGGAAGGTCGGACAGCGCAAAACCCTGGAGCAAAGGTTCAGGGCGCCTGAAGCGACGCTGCGGTGAAGCGTCCGAGAGTAGGGCAGGCGCCTCCGCAGCCCTCTCCCTTCCCAGTGCAGCTCTGACCTATACACCCGCCTCTGCCTCCAAAACGGCATAAAAATACAGGATGGGCACTTACCGACAGAAGCCATCTTGGAGTCCTGATGGTCGCTAAAGAAGGCTGCGCAAAGGCTGCTGGGTAGGAAGCACGCCTAGAAGTGGGCGCTGGGAGCAGAGGCTCATGGGAAGCAGGTCAACCCTGCCATTAAACTGGCACTATAAAGGTGCCATAAAGAGAAGGACAACATTCCTTGGAAACCTAAACAGCAGGGAATCCGCAGTTAGTGACCAGCCACCTTAGTCTCATCTCCCTGTCCCAGTAGCCTGCAACGGATTAAAAAAACAAAAGTTGGCCTTGAGGTAGAAGGTAGAATAAGGACAAGTGAAAAACAGAAAGTAGTGGTAGCACATGCCTGTAATCCCAGCACTCAGGAGCCTGAGGTAGGAAGAGCGCCATGAATTCGAGACCTGCTTGGGCTACATAGTGAATTCAAGGCTAGCCTAAATTACAGAGAGAGACTCTGTCTCAAAAACCCAAAAAATTTTTAAAAGAAAGCTGTATGACAAAGAATTTAGAAACCAGTGTAAGGCCTACTACATAAAGTCAAAACAGACAAAGGTCAGCCTGCCGGCCTCCCCAGGTCTCCTGGCATGTGCTAAACCAAAAGTACCTGACCCTGGCCTATGTCCACCTGATTTGCACTGGGGTTTTGAGACACCCTCCACCCTGTGGGCTTTGCACTCCTTGACAAAACTTTGTACAACCAAAAATTTCTCTGCAAGTGTGGGCCAGTCAGATACCCTCTGTCTATGACCCCTGTCAATCCCTCTGTACCTCCTATAATCCCAAGACTAAGAGACCCAGGACCTGTCCCTCTCAGGCTGTAAACTCTTCCCACTGGCTTTCTTCCACTCTTATGGCATGTGCTTTTGTTTCTTTCATGTTTTATTTTGATTTGATTTGATTTGTTGTTTTTTGAGACAGGGTCTCACTATGTACTCCAGGCTGGCCTCAAACTCATGGCAATCCACCTGCCTCAGCCTTCCAAGTACTGGGATTACAGGTGTGTGCCACCATTCCCAGCCTCTTTCACTCTTAATAAATAGTATGCTTGTTACTCATTCTGAGTGTTCCTCTCCATTCTTTGTTCTGGTTACAGAGACTCTGGAAACAACACTCATCCGCTTCTATGTAGTGACAGCTGTGGTGGCACAGGCCTGTAGTCCCAGCACTCTGGGAGACTAAGGATGGTGAACAGCAAGTTATAGTACCCCTGAGCAATTTAGGTATATCCTGTTTCCAGAAATAAAATAAAATAAAACAAAAAAATAAAGTAAAATAAAAAGGGCTGAGCATGGTGGAGCATGCTTGTAATTCCAGCAATCAAGAGGCTGAGGCAAGAGGCCTTGTTTCAAGTTCCAGGCCAGCCTGGGCTACAAAGTAAGTTCTAGGTCAGCCTGAACTGCATAGTGAAACTCTGTCTCAAAAAGACTAAATAAATAAATAAATAAAAATTTAAAAGGCTGGGATAGGGCAACCCATTCATTCAGGACTCCTCCTGTCTCTCAGGAGCTATATTTATTCCCTATTCCCTATTCCTATTCTCTAATAAATTTTCCTACTTCACCTCAAAAAAAAGGCCGGGATATTGCTTAGTATGAAGGCCCTGGGTTCAATCCTCAGTAGTGGAAGGAGGAAAAAAAAAGGCCTTTTGGCTTTCTTACCCTTAAATTCATGCAAGAAATGAAAGGGACATATCAAGAACCTTCCTCTCAGCTGTGCTGAATGGGAGGCAAGCTTCTACTCCCAAGGAATTCACAGACCAGAAGAGGATGTCCAAACATAGGCTTCAAAAAGATTGGATTCATGTGCACCCACTGTGTCCCAGCTCTGGGCTAGGCTTTGAGAACTGAAATAAGACCTTTTGGGTCAAAGATAGACAAAGCTGGAACTGGACATGGTGGCACACAGTTTGTGTAATTTATCAGCTTAGCAATTCCCTGTCTCAAGCTGTTCGCCATCCTTAGTCTCCCAGAGTGCTGGGACTACAGGCCTGTGCCACCACAGCCGTCACTACATAGAAGTGGATGAGTTTTTAAAAAAAAAAAAAAAAATGTTTAAAAGAGCTAGGGATGTAGCTTAGTGTGAAGGCCCTGGATTCGATCCCCAGTACCAAAAACAAACAAATAAAAAACCAAAAAGATAAAACTAAACTAACTGTTCATGTGCTATGGACAGATTTTAATTGGGACTGCAGTGTTGCAAAGAGAAAAGAATCCAGTATGAACTGAATTCAAGTTGGATTAGTACACAGGTGACTTGAGTATTCTATACAGAAAAGGAAAAGGCTCAGTAGAGTCAAAGAAATGAAAACATATCCCCCCAAAATCTAGAAGGGGTTTGGAGCATAGGAAACCCATGTGGGTTTGCCAACAGGCACTCATGGAAGTTTAAACCAAGTTGAGAAGAGAGCTCACAGCAGCCTGGGTGGGGTTTGGTCAAGCAGAGAATTTTGTCAGCTGAAGGCTGCAGCTCTTCTTTCTGCCACAAGCATAGCTCATGTAAGGATGACTCACCACTGCCATCTTGTTTTATTCTGGAAAAGCCACAGCCTGCCGTCGGTAACCCAGGACTCAATAAAAAAATAGCTAAAATATAAAAAAAAATTTTTTTAAAACCTAGACCCCTAAATTTAAAGACCCAGTCAAGAAATGGGCATCTGAATTGAACAGACACTTCTCAGATGAAAAAGTGCAAACAGCAAATAAACATATGAAAAAATGTTCAATATCACTGATTACTTGAAAAATGCAAATTAAAACAACACTGAGATTCCATCTCACCCTGTAAAGAATGGCTATCATCAAGAAATCAACCAATAATGATCAGCATTGCATGTCTGTATCTGTTTTCGTGAGAAACCACTTTGAAGATATCAATATGTAATACAACAAGCATTGTTAATTCCCTACCACTTTGTTTGTAACTCCGTACTGTCTGTACTGTTCTTTTGCTATTTTGTAAAATGTTGTCTGTCTGTGAATGTTTTCCTGCTTTTATTTTTAAAGTAAAAAAAAAGAAAAAAGAAAAAAAGAAAACAACCAATAACAAATGATGGCGGGACTGTGGACAAAAAGGAACCCTACTCCACTGTTGGTGCGAGTGTAGCTGGTGAAACTACTGTGGAAATCAGTGTGGAGATTCATAAAAAATTAAAACTAGAGGTTCCTTTTGACCCAGCTATTCCCCTTTTTGGTATCTTCCTAAAGGAATTAAAAGCGTCATACCACAACAATATATGCACACTCATGATTATAGTGGCACAGTTTGTAGTAGCTAAATCTTGGAAACAGCCCAAATGCCCATTAACTGATGAATAGATAAAGAAGATGGAGTTTTTTTTATACAATGGAGTACTACTTTGCCACAAAGAAGGATAAACTTGAGACATTTCTAGGTAAATGGATGCACTCCAAGAACATAATTTTAAGTAAAATAAACTTAATTGGGCACACATGTTTAAAAATTGCATTGTTTCTCTTGTGTAAGAAACCTGAAGGATAAATAAGGACCAAATGGATGATAGATATTGGGAAGTAGGAAAAAATGTTCAAATGGGAAGGGGAACAAGGGAAGGGAAAGGAGGAAGAAAGGGGTGGAAATAGGGATAAAAAATAAAAAACAATGGAAACCAAGTTTTGTAAAGGGAGAGGGGGAGAAGGACTGAAGGAAAGGGAGGAGAATGGGAAAAAAGAGAATTAAGATAGATTATGTACAGGTACAAATTCCGTCTGGTGAATGTGATCATTTGTATGACAAAAGTGTATTGATGAAATTAATTTTTAAAAAAGCATGTAAACTGGATGTGGTGGTGCACAACTGTAATCCCAGCACTCAGGAGGCTGAAGCAGGAGGATTGCCATGAGTTATAGGCTACATAATGAGACCCTCTCTCAAAAAGAAAAAAAAAAAGAATGTAAAGTATCACACAGTTGCTTAGTTGATGATACTGTTTTGCATTTATAATATACATTATTGAAGGAAACTTACCCTTATCTGTGATAAGCACATACACGCAAAAGAAAATAACCTGTATAGTTTTAGCTTTTCATCACTGTGACCAAATACAGGATGTGGTCAAAAAAATAAAGTGAATGTTTAAATTAAAGGAAATGTATTACAGTAAAAGAAGCATTGTTATTAATCTCCCTCAGAATGCTCCCCCTCCCAGCCTAGCATGATGAAGTATGCCTGTAACCCCAGCACTTGGGAGGCTGAAGCAGGAGAATCACCATGAGTTCGAAGCTGGCCTAGGCTACATAGTAAATTCAAGGCCATCCTCCATTACAAAGCCAGACCCTGTCTCAAAAAATCAGACCAAAGGAAAAGAAAAACCAAAAAGCAAAAAACTCCCCCTCCCTTCACACACACTTATTCCTTCATTCCTGCCACTTCCTGGAGCAGTTCTGGAAATCCTCTTTCATGAACATCTTTAGCTGTGCTGCCGTGGCTGCTTCAGTGTCTTGAATCAGCTAGAAACCTTTACCTTTCACAGTCATTTTGACTTTGAAGAAGAGCCAGAGGTTGCTTAGTGTCAGATCCAGTGAATAAGGTGGATGAGCACAGACCGTAATGTCTTTATAAGCCACCTTTTCAGTTGTATAGCACTCAGCAGCAGCATTCACAATATTTTTTATCACACCTCACAGTTTCAGAGGTTCCAGTCCATGGTCAGCTGCTTTGAAGGCAGAAATGTTATGGTATAAGGGCATGGGAGAAAGAGCTACTCACTTTACAGCAGCCAAGAAACAGTCAGGGAAAGAGGCAGAGAGAAGGGCTAGGGAACAGATACAGTACCTAAGGCCACACCCCCATGACCTACCCTTTCAAAGAAACGTGCTCTCTTAATGTCCTAGGTGTCTCTGAAGCCATTAAAGATTAAACAGTAGGGCTGGGAATTTAACTCAGTAGCACAGCGCCTGCCCGGCAAGTACAAGGTCATGAGTTCTATTCCCGGTACCAAAAAAAAAAAAAGATTAAACAGCAAAGAAGAACGAATTCATAAATTTTTCTAATTGTTCTTAACTACTGTTTTTGTTTGCTTTTGTTTTTGCAGTGTTGGGAATTGAACCTAGGGCCTGTACATGCTATGAAAGCC